CTGAGTCAGGGCGTGACAGTACCCCCCCCCCCCCCCCCCCAAAGATGCGGACTCCGACCGCACAACATAAACATAACAGGGTAGGGGCTGGGTGGGCATTCCGCCTCGGAGGCGGATACGGCTCAGGGCGTGACGACCACTTACTCTCCGCCTTCCTGTTGCGCCCCTGGTCTGGTCTGGACCTCGGCGCGCTGCTTCCCCTCTCCTTCCTCCCACGAAGTACCAAGCCCTGTCTGGACCCTGGTGTGGGAGACCCCGAACCTGGAGAGGGGCTGACGTCTGGGTCTGGACTGGAGCCGCTGACCGGAGCTGGACCGGGCACCGGTGGAGTGGACTGCACAGGCTCCGGACTGGAGCCGCTGACCGGAGCTGGACTGGGCACCGGTGGAGTGGACTGCTCTGGCTCCGGAGTGGAGCCGCTGACCGGATCTGGACTAGACCCCGGTGGAGCGGACTGCTCTGGCTCCGGAGTGGAGCAGCTGACCGGAGCTGGATCAGGCACCGGTGGAGCGGACTGCTCTGGCTCCGGAGTGGAGCCGCTGACCGGAGCTGGACTGGACCCCGGTGAAGCGGATTGCTCTGGCTCCGGAGTGGAGCAGCTGACCGGAGCTGAACTGGGCACCGGTGGAGCGGACTGCTCTGGTTCCAGAGTGGAGCAGCTGACCGGTGCCGGAACAGGCACGGGCCGTGCCGGACTGGACACACGCACTACTGGCTTGGTGCGAGGGGCAGGAACAGGCCGGGCCGGGCTGGCGACACGCACCACTGGCTTGGTGCGAGGGACAGGAACAGGCCGGACCGGGCTGGCGACGCGCACCACTGGCTTGGTGCGAGGGGCAGGAACAGGCCGGGCCGGGCTGGCGACGCGCACCACTAACTTGGTGCGAGGGGCAGGAACAGGCCGGACCGGGCTGGCGGCGCGCACAACTGACTTGGTGCGAGGGGCAGGAACAGGGCGGGCCGGGCTGGCGACGCGCACCACTGGCTTGGTGCGAGGGACAGGAACAGGCCGGACCGGGCTGTCAACGCGCACCACTAGCTTGGTGCGAGGGGCAGGAACAGGCCGGGCCGGGCTGGCGACGCGCACCACTAGCTTGGTGCGAGGGGAAGGAACAGGCCGGGCCGGGCTGGCGACGCGCACCACTGACTTGGTGCGAGGGGCAGGAACAGGCCGGGCCGGGCTGGCGACGCGCACCACTGACTTGGTGCGAGGGGCAGGAACAGGCCGGGCCGGGCTGGCGACGCGCACCACTAGCTTGGTGCGAGGGGCAGGAACAGGCCGGGCCGGGCTGGCGACGCGCACCACTAGCTTGGTGCGAGGGGAAGGAACAGGCCGGGCCGGGCTGGCGCCGCGCACCACTGGCTTGGTGCGAGGGGCAGGAACGGGTCGGGCCGTATTGGGAACACGCACCACTGGCTTAGTGCGGGAAGCAGGAACGGGCCGGACCGGACTGGCGACACGCACCACTTGCTTGGTGCGAGGAGCGGGACTGGGTTCCTTTATTAACCCCCGCTCCTTCTGCTGCCTAACCAGCTCCTCTCGCCGTGCCTCTACACTTTCCTTCTCCCTTATAGCCTCCTTTAGCGCCTCCCTCTGACCGAATAACTCCTGCTCCCTCTGAACCAATAGCCCCCGTAACATGGTGGCCTCCTCTCCTAACCTGCAGATCCGCACTGTCGTGGCCTCCTGCTGCCTCGTCGTCCACACCGTGTGCCCCCCCCAAAAATGTTCTTGGGGTTGCCTCTCGGGTCTCCGTCGTCGGCACTCCTCTTCCCGTGAGGACTCCTCTGGGAGCCCCCACGAGTTAGGGAACAGAAACTCGTCGTCGTCGTCATCCTTCGACTCCTCAGTATAATACTGTTCCCACTCCTCTTCCCAAGGTCGTAGGGACCCAAACTGAAAACCAACCGGGTGCAGTGGTCGGGGCTCTTCTCTCACGCTCCCCGACCACCCCTTTAGCCCCCCCCAAAAAAAAATATTGGGGCTGCTTCTCGGGCCTCCTCCTTGGCCGGCTTCCGTGTTGCCGTTGCTCCTCTCCTGCCTGGGCATCTACCTTCGCCCATGGCCCTTTCCCCGCGAATATCTCTTCCCATGACCACAATTTGCCCACCTGTGCCATGGCTATTCGCTCCTCCTGGGCACGCTGCTTGGTCCTCGTTTGGTGGGATCTTCTGTCACGATCGATGATGAACGGGACGGACCAAGGCGCAGCGTGATATGCGTACATGTTTATTTTAATGAATAAACAACCGACAAAACAATAAACAAACGAAACGTGAAGTCCAAGGTAGAACACAAAACATACCTACACAGAACAAGATCCCACAACCCACTAGTGCCAATAGGCTGCCTAAGTATGGTCCCCAATCAGAGACAACGAGCGACAGCTGCCTCTGATTGGGAACCACACAGGCCAACATAGATCTATACATACTAGAATGTACAGCATGGACAAACACAGCAAGGAAAATACACACCCTGACTCAACATACAAGCGTCCTCTGAGTCAGGGCGTGACAAAGAGTGAGCGATGAATGGCTGCAAAACACTTTTGGGACCCTCTCCATCAGGGCGCGCCTCGTAAACGCGGCTACGATGCTGCAATCCTTCCTCGCCCTGCTGATCCCTCACCTCCCAGGGGGTGGTGACGAGCTTCTTAAGGAGGCCACAAGGTGTCAAGGCTGCTCACTATGCTCCAGACAGATAAGGCTTTGGCTTCAGTGTTGACTTCACACCGCCATCTTTGGCTGGCACAGTCTAAACTGCCACCACCAGTTCAGAAAACATTATTGGAGCTCCCCTTCACGCCAGGTTCCACCTTTGGGCCAGGGGTCGACAACATCATACAGCAGACTACAAAACTGCGCAAAGACAGAGAGACTTTGCAGGAGTTCTTGGCAACTGCACGCCTTTACTGCCGCCCCTCAGAGGAGCTGGAAGACAGGGCAGGATGTCTCGAGGGTGCTCCAGCAACATCTTGTCCCCCCTCCTCCCCCGCCAAGACGGCAGGGAAATGGGAACCAGCGTTTTACACCCTGAAAGCACAAGGACAGGCGTCATGACCACCCTTACAAGCAGCGGCTAAGAAGAATGGGCCCCGGCAGTCCTCCTAAGGTGCTGGTCGACCTCGGCCGTCTCTCCCAGGCCCAAAGGGCAAACTGGGAGAGGCAGGTGGAGTCTCCCTGGGTACTGGACACAGTCCTGGGGGGATACAAACTCCAGATCCGATGCCGACCGCTGTCCTACAGGGGCATCTGGGTCAGTTTGAAGGGCCACCAGCTCCTCCTGATAGCCCCATACTGGCCGAGACGACCATAGTTCAGCCTCCTGTTGTCCCTCTTCTTTGGTACCCAATGGAAGCTGCCGCTGAGATCCGACCTGCTCTTTCAGGCTCAGGGAATGCTGTGGCATCCGGACCCACACCACCTCTAGCTTTGGGATTGGCCACTGAGAGGCATAAATGGGCTAGTCTAGGCATTCAGGACAATGTGGTGAACACGTTGCAAAACGCCAGGGCTTCCTCCACCAACGTGTCATATCAAATGCTGAGGGGCATATTCTGTACTTGGTGTGAGGGTCATAATGTTGCCCCCGAGTCATGTGATGTACAAACGGTTTTGCACTTTTTATAATCACTGCTTGGCAGCCCAGAACTACATGGGAGGATCTTGTCAATGATCTCAAGGCAGCTGGGACCATAGTCACCAAGAAAATAATATGCCATTTAGCAGACGCTTTTATCCAAACAATTGGTAACACTACACCGTGAAGGACTGAAATCCTGCAGCGCCCGCAAGGTCCCCCTGCTCAAGAAAGCACATATACAGGCCCGTCTGAAGTTTGCCAACGAACATCTGAATGATTCAGAGGAGAACTGGGTGAAAGTGTTGTGGTCAGATGAGACCAAAATCGAGCTCTTTGCCATCAACTCAACTCGCCGTGTTTGGAGGAGGAGGAATGCTGCCTATGACCCCAAGAACACCATCCCCACCGTCAAACATGGAGGTGGAAACATTATGCTTTGGGGGTGTTTTTCTGCTAAGGGGACAGGACAACTTCACCGCATCAAAGGGACGATGGACGGGGCCATGTACCGTCAAATCTTGGGTGAGAACCTCCTTCCCTCAGCCAGGGCATTGAAAATGGGTCGTGGATGGGTATTCCAGCATGACAATGACCCAAAACACACGGCCAAGGCAACAATGGAGTGGCTCAAGAAGAAGCACATTAAGGTCCTGGAGTGGCCTAGCCAGTCTCCAGACCTTAATCCCATAGAAAATCTGTGGAGGGAGCTGAAGGTTAGAGTTGCCAAACGTCAGCCTCGAAACCTTAATGACTTGGAGAAGATCTGCAAAGAGGAGTGGGACAAAATCCCTCCTGAGATGTGTGCAAACCTGGTGGCCAACTACAAGAAACGTCTGACCTCTGTGATTGCCAACAAGGGTTTTGCCACCAAGTACTAAGTTATGTTTTGCAGAGGGGTCAAATACTTATTTCCCTCATTAAAATGCAAATCAATTTATAACATTTTTGACATGCGTTTTTCTGGATTTCTTTGTTGATATTCTGTCTCTCACTGTTCAAATAAACCTACCATTAAAATTATAGACTGATCATGTCTTTGTCAGTGGGCAAACGTACAAAATCAGCAGGGGATCAAATACTTTTTTCCCTCACTGTATGGGGAAGTATAGACATGGTGGTTAGATTGGCCAAACTCATCATTACACACACCCTTCCCACCATCCCCCCACTGCACTACAGTTTCACTTCCCCATTGGTGTCTCTGCTCTTTCTGTTGCTTCAGTCTTACTTTATATTCACACACTCCCTCTTTCTGTATTCTTCCATTTCTTGTTTCAAACAGGGCATGTCAACAACCTTAGTTATACCGAGTGTGTGTTTGTATGCGCATGTTTGTGCAGAGCTAGGAGCTGATTTAGGACTGAGTATTTCAATCATCTTCCCCAGCACTACTACTGTATGCTGATGAGCCCGGATGGCGGAGAGGGCAGTGCCACAAGAGAACACAGGGATCAATACAGGGATCCAACAGTCCAATGATCCATACCCTGAAGCAACAGCTGAGAGCCTGGACCTTGAGGATTCACATCAACAGGGTAAGAAGCACCTGGGTGCTTTCAGTCATTTTCCTTCAAATGGTACTTTAAATAAGTAGCTGAGCAAAGCATGTGTTTGATTCTGCTTGTGTGAGCAGTAATATGGCATTTTTCATCTGTCTGTCTGTCTACTCTGTACGTAGGTGCTTGTGGGTATGACCTGTGTCCAGGCCCCAGTTCATCCTGTATGACCACCAAAGAGCTGCAGCAGCACTGGCGCGCGGTGAAGCACAGACTGAAGCCGGTCAAGCTGTTGTTTGAGATCCCTTCTGCACGCACCATAGTGCAGCACCTGTCCAAATACGTTGTGAGCTCTATTTTACGTACAGCATACAGCAGAGATTGTCAACTGGCGGCCCGCGGTCCAAATTCGACCCGTGGACGATTATATTTGGCCCCCTAAAGTTTTCTACGCCCAATTTTGACATTTGTATCCAGTTTTTGGACATAAAAGGCTGTAAAATTACTAGGAATTCTCCTCAAAATGTTTTTTATTTAGGAAATCTATTCCCAAGTATTTCCACTCATAAATAGAGAGGCATATGAGATTGTGTACCAATGTAATCAAGGTTTGAAATTATTATGTTTTTGTAAAATACAATATCTGTTTCGGCTTCTTGTGTCAATTTGCAGAGTACAAATGATTTATAATCGACCGTCCGCTCAAGAAATATTCAGCCTTCGGCTGAGTCTAGTTGATGATCCCTGGCATAGAGTTTAGGGCACGCTTCACCATAGTTAGAGAGTGTTGCCGTGTTGCAGGAAGCACAATTACATATTTGATTGTCTTCTATTGCAAGATAGTTGAGTGAGTTTTAATAACAAAGTTGCAAGATATGAGGTTTTCTAAATTAGAAGTTTGTCCCAATGTTCCTGTGTTATCCAGGTGTACCAGATCGTGGTGATCCGGTCAGGCAGCTACGACTCCAAGCGTGTGTCTGTCGAGCGTCGCTATAGCGACTTCGTCCACCTCCACCAGCAGCTCCTCGAAGACTTCAGCGAGGAGCTCGAAGAGGTCATACTTCCCCGGAAACTACTAACTGGAAACTTTAACCCCGAGAACATCTGGGAACGCCGCCTGGCTCTGCGAGACTACCTGGCCCAGCTATACGCGGTCCGCTGCGTCCGACATTCCCGCCACTTCCTGGATTTCTTCACTGAGCCCGAGCAAAGGCGAGCGCACGGCCTACTCCGAGCGGGGCAGTTTGGGCCAGCGGTGGCGCTACTAGAGACAGTCCTGGAGCTTCAGGAGAAGATGGGAGGGTGGCAGAGTCCTGTTCTGCTGGTGCCCACGCTGTGTGCCCTCACAGTGTGCCAGAGAGACCTGGAAGAGCCGGAGTCGGCGTTCACCATGGGCCAGAGGGCGCTGCCCACGGTAAGGCGCTATGGGCTGAAGCGCTACAGAGGGCCACTGCTGGAGATGATGGTGGATCTGGGATACCAGTTAGGGCAGCCTGTGGCTCAGCTGCAGGAGGAGTTGGTTCAGGTTAGGGATGCAGAGAGGGGACTGGTGTCTTTTCGCTCCCTTAAGGAGTTGGTGGTGCAGGAGTTTACCTAGGCCTGATTCAGTTGAGATAAGCATGCACAACTTTAAATGATTAAATGACATCAATGGGAGAGCTGTGCAAACACTTCCACTGGGGAGAACATGTCCAAAGTATAGACTTTGTTCAGGAATTCTAGACCTAGCCTTCTTTACCAGGTTTGAGCCAATTCCATTTAAATTCAATTCAATCAATTCAGGAAGTAGAAATTCCAATTCAAGGGTCTTTTCAATAGCATTTATGTTGGAGCACTCTTTTGAACATGTAAATGCAGACAGACCCCCACCTCCCAACTGTTTATTTTTTATTTTAATAATGAAAGATACAACTTACATTTTCCCACTTACACCACAGGGTCTTAACATATACACACATACATACACATATATATATACTGTATATCAATATATATATACTACCGGTCAAAAGTTTTAGAACACCTACTCATTCAAGGGTTTTTCTTTATTTTTTACTATTTTCTACATTGTAGAATAATAATGAAGACATCAAAATGATGAAATATCACATATGGAATCATGTAGTAACCAAAAAAGTGTTAAACAAATCTAAATATATTTTATATTCTTCAAATAGCCACTCTTTGCCTTGATGACAGCTTTGCACACTCTTGGCATTCTCTCAACCAGCTTCATGAGGTAGTCACCTGGAATGCATTTCAATTAACAGGTGTGCCTTCTTAAAAGTTAATTTGTGGAATTTCTTTCCTTCTTAATGCGTTTGAGCCAATCAGTTGTGTTGTCACAAGGCAGGGGGGTTATACAGAAGATAGCCCTATTTGGTATAATATATTATGGCAAGAACAGCTCAAGCTTAAGCAAAGAGAAACGACAGTCCATCATTACTTTAAGACATGAAGGTCAGTCAATACGGAATATTTCAAGAACTTTTAAAGTTTCTTTAAGTGCAGTCGCAAAAACCATCAAGCGCAATGATTAAACTGGGTCTCATGAGGACCGCCACAGGAATGGAAGACCCAGAGTTACCTCTACTGCAGAGGATAAGTTCATTAGAGTTACCAGCGTCAGAAATTGCAGCCCAAATAAATGCTTCACAGAGTTCAAGTAACAGACACATCTCAACATCAATTGTTCAGAGGGGACTGTGTGAATCAGGCCTTCATGGTCGAATTGCTGCAAAGAAACCACTACTAAAGGACACCAATAATAAGAAGAGACCTGCTAGGCCAAGAAACACAAGCAATGGACATTAGACCGGTGGAAATCTGTCCTTTGGTCTGGAGCCCAAGTATGAGATTTTTGGTTCCAACCGCCGTGTCTTCGTGAGACGCGGTGTGGGTGAACGGATGATCTCCGCATGTGTAGTTCCCACCGTAAAGCATGGAGGAGGTGTTATGGTGCTTTGCTGGTGACACTGTGTGATTTATTTAGAATTCACAGCACACTTAACCAGCATGGCTACCAGAGCATTCTGCAGCAATACGCCATCCCATCTGTTTTGGGCTTAGTGGGACTATCATTTGTTTTTCAACAGGACAATGACCCAACACACCTCCAGGCTGTGTAAAGGCTAGTTTACCAAGAAGGAGAGTGATGTAGTGCTGCATCAGATGACCTGGCCTCCACAATCCCCTGACCTCAACCCAATTGAGATGGTTTGGGATGAGTCGGACCACAGAGTGAAGGAAAAGCAGCCAACAAGTGCTCTTCATATGTGGGAACTCCTTCAAGACTGTTGGAAAAGCATTCCAGGTGAAGCTGGTGGAGAGAATGCCAAGAGTTTGCAAAGCTGTCATCAAGGCAAAGGGTGGCTATTTGAAGAATCTCAAATATAAAATATATTTTGATTTGTTGAACACTGTTTTGTTTACTACATGACTCCATATGTGTTATTTCATAGTTTTGATGTCTTCACTATTATTCTACAATGTACAAAATAGTAAAAATAAAGAAAAACCCTTGAATGAGTAGGTGTCCAAACTTTTGACTGGTAGTGTATATAATATATTTACACCAAAACATAATTAGCTAAATAAAAATAAGAAGAAGAAGAAGAAAATACAATTCAATGCAGGGATTGTACATTTGCTTTAGAGAATGATAAGGAGAAAAACAAAGAAAATGGACATTCAACGAAACAAAACAGTTTTATTGTTCACAGCAATAAAATGTAATGTTTTCCTATTCCACTTCAAATTGGTTGGAAAGTGACATTTTTGGCTTGAAATATTGACTGGTTTTGAATTGGCATAGACATTAGGCAATGGCATCAACATACTGAATAAATATTTTTATCAAATTAAGCATTTTTGTTCAATTAAGATGCTTGTTGGTGGCTTGTCTGTTCGAAAAAACGAATTCAGTGTTGAAATGAATGAGCAGTGAGCACATCATGAACACATTTGCAGTGAACAGAACATTCTTTAGTCATTGTTTGTTCTATTCTAATCACATAGAATAAAGAAGTTTGAAGAACTCAATGGTTCAGAGCTGTAATACTTTACACAACATCAGGTACAGGAGACGATGGGAAATTTGCTTTTCTTTCACAACATCCTCTCATTGGTCCATATTATCACTTGTAAAATAACAAGCTACACTACATGACAAAGTTTGTGGACACCTGCTCGTCAAACATCTCTTTCCAAAATCATGGGCATTAATATGGAGTTGGTCCCCCCTTTGCTGCTATAACAGACTCCACTCTTCTGGGAAGGCTTTCCACTAGATGTTGGAACATTGCTGCGGAGACTTGCTTCCATTCAGCCACAAGCATTAGTGAGGTCGGGCACTGACGTTGGGTGATTAGGCCTGACTCGCAGTCGGCGTTCCAATTCATCCCAAAGGTGTTTGGTGGGGTTGAGGTCAGGGCTCTGTGCAGGCCAGTCAAGTTCTTCCACACCAATCTCAACAAACCATTTCTGTATGGACCTCGCTTTGTGCACGGGGGCATTGTCATGCTGAAACAGGAAAGGGCCATCCCCAAACTGTTGCCACAAAGTTGGAAGCACAGAATCGTCTACAATGTCATTGTATGCTGTAGCGTTAACATTTCCCTTCACTGGAACTAAGGGGACTAGCCCATACCATGAAAAACAGCTCAAGACCATTATTGCTCTTCCACCAAACGTTACAGTTGGCACTATGCATTGGGGCTGGTAGCGTTCTCCTGGCATCCGCCAAACCCAGATTTGTCCATCGGACTTGCCAGATGGTGAAGCGTGATTCATCACTCCAGAGAACGCATTTCCACTGCTCCAGAGTCTAATGGCGGCGAGCTTTACACCACTCCAGCTGACGCTTGGCATTGTGCGTAGTGATCTTAGGCTTGTGTGCGGCTGCTCGGCCATGGAAACCCATTTCATGAAGCTCCCGACGAACAGTTATTGTGCTGACGTTGATTCCAGAGGCAGTTTGGAACTCAGTAGTGGGTGTTGCAAACGCGCTTGGCTGTCCCGTTCTGTGAGCTTGTGTGGCTTACCACTTCGCGGCTGAGCCGTTGTTGCACCTAGACGTTTCCACTTCACAATAACAGCACTTACAGTTGACCGGGGAAGCTCTAGCAGGGCAGAAATGTGATGAACTGACTTGTTGTAAAGGTGGCATCCTATGACAGTGCCATGATGAAAGTCACTGAGCTCTTCAGTAAGGCCATTCTACTGCCAATGTTTCACTGTGGAGATTGCATGGCTGTGTGCTCGATTTTATACACCTGTCAGCAACGGGTGTGGCTGAAATAGCCGAATCCACTAATTTGAAGGGGTGTCCACATACACTTTAAATACAAAAGTATCTTGAAGGTTGGAACCAATGTCTGGATACAACTGAACTGCAAAATGTTTTGTGAGGTCAATTCTGGGAACAAGTACTAAATCATGGAGAGGGGTGTCAAAGAGAATTGCTAACTCCAGGACCAGCAGTGGCCCAACCCTACCCTTTATGCTGGAATTTGGACAACATAAAAATAAGTGCTGTTGTATAAACATTCTGTAACCTTTAAATAAATACAGTTACAAGTAAAATATGTATTATGTTCTCAATTAACATTAGGACAATTTATTTGTACTGTCAAAATTAGGCCAATATTCTTTTTGTGGATCTGAAAGGATTGGATGGATGAAAGCAACTTGGCAGAAGCTGCACTCAGCCTCTTTAAAAGCTAGGAGGTCCCATCACCATATTGCTTACATCCAGTCTGATCCTTTTCGATCTGTGAATGCTAAAGGGCTAAGACTTAGACAGGAAGAGAAAGCAAAGTGCTGGACACCTCCCAGCCCAGATAGGTTAAGGAAATTGTATGACTATTAGGAGACAGCCTGTGTCTGAGATATTCAGCTCAAAATGTGCATCTCAACCATCTCTTAAACAGGCATACGGGCTATTGCTAAGCGTTCCATGCATACCCATTCACATTATAGATTCATATAAATATACTACAAAAATAAATACATAAATCATTTTGTAATAGGCAAAATAGTTGAGTACTGGATATGTTCATATTAGGAAGTTTGCGAACTACAGATATTGTGGTAATGTGTATTCTACCAGTAGGAACATTAAACTGTTCGCTATTACGCCGATTAAACAGTACTGTGAAATAGCCATTGAACAGATCATTACAAAAATCATCCCCGTTATGCAAGGAAACTGGTCCATTTGGGCTGTAGCAACTCAAGGATCTATTCTGCTGATGGTTGGAGATGGCACTTAGAACCCACACTTGGCCCAGTCCACAACAGATCGCAAATCAATATTCATTTTAATTCAGCTGGTAAAGAAAATATACAATCGCTAGTCATTGTAATGTTTTTCTTCCTTTCCCCGCCATTTTGCCTTTTTAAAATCACACAAATATTTTGTGTTCTACTTTTTCCATTGCAAGTTAAGGAGATGAGTTGCTGAAAAACGTAAATGTTCAACGACTCGTTTTGTCAGTGCAAACATTTTCCCCAATATAGTAATAATATCCATAGTTTTATACCATTCATTTTCCCTTGTCATTTCTGCTGTAAAGTTGAATTGCCAGTAAGTAATAGAGACCCACCCAAAAAAGGTTTTCCCACTTCTGCTAGTCCAATGCACCAGGGGGTACTGCCACTGCTAAAGTTCAGGAACAACTGATGAGGCTTGACGACCTTCCTCCATATTCATATTACAGAAAGACTTCGCCCTCAAGACGAGGATAGTGTCAATCTGCCATTTCAACTGACAGAAATAGGAGGAATCTCCTTCTAACTTGGCTTAAAAAATATCACTACCAAAAGCCCTGGTAAGATTGCCTCGATCCTTCCATTTCGGCAGCACAGAGAGAGTGGAGTTGAGTTCCGTGACATAGCGCCCCCTATCTACAGAGGTCCTGCACTGCAGGTTTACATTGGTGCTTTGGCTGGGGTTTCCTCCTCCTGCCAGGACAGCTCTGCTTGCTGTCTCGGTGGCTCCTGCTGTTGCTGTCTGATGACTGTCCTGTTCCTGTGCTTGGCTGTGTGTTGGCATGGCTGTTCTGACAAGACGTCAAACTTGCTCTGTCCACCTGTTGCCAGGAAAACATATAGGATAAGATTCACTTTATTGTCCCTTGATGGGAATTATTTCTTGGAACAGCATTTAGTGTGACATCATAATTGGATGTGTGGTAAGTTAACACTAAAGCTTGTCTGTTATAGTCACCTACCTTGCTCTTGTTCGACTGGCTTACGCGGCTGCCAGAAGAGGAACTTGTATCCCTGTGATTGGTCAATCCGGCACTGTGTGCAGATGAGCCTTGCCTACCCCGTGTCGTAGACACCGGTTTACAGCGGCTTCCGTCCGAATCCTGGAGGGATCATTGCAACCAATCAAGCGAGGGCAAAATATGATTTAACGACCGGCATCTCAGTGTTTTAACGCATGAAAGGGTAGATTACCTAAGGGACCTTTCTGATGGATAAAATGTTTTAGAACTATTTTAAATCACAGGTGCGAAGGAAAGGCCAACACTGGGGCTGTAGTTATCAAGCGGCTCAGAGATACGCGCCAGAGTATTCAAATCAAATCAAATTGTATTTGTCACATACACGTGTTTAGCAGATGTTATTGCAGGTGTAGCGAAATGCTTGTGCTTCTAGCTCTGACAGTGCAGTAATATCGAACAAGTAATATCTAACAATTTCACAACATATACCCAATATACACAAATCTAGTAAGGAATGGAATTTAAGAATATATACATATGGACAAGCAATGACAGAGCGGCATGGACTAAGATACAGTAGAATATTATAGAATAGAATGCAGTATATACATATGAGATGAGTAGTGCAAGATATGTAAACATTATTAAAGTGACTAGTGTTCCATTTCTTAAAGTGGCCAGTGATTTCAATAGGCAGCAGCAGCCTCTAATGTAGTATTGCTTGATACATACAGTGCATTCGGAAAGTATTCAGACCCCTTGAATTTTACCACATTTTGTTACGTTACAGCCTTATTCTAAAATTGATTAAATTGTTTTTTCCCCCCTCATCAATCTACACACAATACCCCATAATGACAAAGCAAAAACAGGTTTTTAGATGTCTTTGCAAATTTGTTAAAAATAAAAAACTGAAATATCACATTTACATAAGTATTCAGACCCTTTACTCAGTACTTTGTTGAAGCACCTTTGGCAGCGATTACAGCCTCGAGTCTTCTTTGGTATGACGCTACAAGCTTGGCACACCTGTATTTGGGGAGTTTCCCCCATTCTTCTCTGCAGATCCTCTCAAGCTCTGTCAGGTTGGATGGGGAGCGTCACTGCACAGCTATTTTCAGGTCTCTCCAGAGATGTTCGATCAGGTTCAAGTCCGGGCTCTGGCTGGGCCCCTCAAGGACATTCAGAAACTTGTCCCGAAGCCACTCCTGCGTTGTCTTGGCTGTGTGCTTAGTGTTGTTGTCCTTTTGGAAGGTGCACCTTCGCCCCAGTCTGAGGTCCTGAGCACTCTGGAGGAGGTTTTCATCAAGGACCTCCCTGTACTTTGCTCCGTTAATGTTTCCCTCGATCCTGACTAGTCTCCCAGTCCCTGCGGCTGAAAAACATCCCCACAGCATGATGCTGCCACCACTATGCTTCATTGTACGGATGGTGCCAGGTTTCCTCCAGACATGACGCTTGGCATTCAGGCCAAAGAGTTCAATCTTTATTTCATCAGACCAGAGAATCTTCTTCGGGACCTTCAATGCTGCAGACATTTTTTGCTACCCTTACCCAGATCTGTACCTCGACACAATCCTGTCTCGGAGCTCTACAGACAATTACTTCGACCTCATGGCTAGGTTTTTGCTCTGACATGCACTGTCAACTGTGGGACCTTATATGGACAGGTGTGTGCCATTCCATATCATGTCCAATCACTTGAATTTACCACAGGTGGACTCCAAGTTGTAGAAACATCTCAAGGATGATCAATGGAAACAGGAAGCACTTGAGCTCAATTTCGAGTCTCATAGCAAAGGGTCTGAATACTTATGCAAATAACACTTACGTAAAAATGTCTAAAAACCTATTTTCGCTTTGTCATTATGGGGTATTGTGTGTAGATTGATGAGGAAAATGTTTTATTTAATTAATTTTAGAATAAGGCTGTAACATAACAAAATGTGGAAAAAGTCAAGGGGTCTGAATACTTTCCGAATGCACTATACAGCCGCTGGTATGTGAGGAGCAAAGTGTGTGGCGAGAACACGCTCTGTTTCACAAGGTACTCACAGCGTCACTGGAGCTAGCCGATGAATATTGTGGCGAAGAGAATGACGAAGAGGGGGGAGGAGAGGAGGAGCTGGGGGATTCCGCCCCTTCCTCAGAGAGATTGTTAATGCATTCCTCCATCTGCTGAAGCTCCACCAGCAATGTACCTGTGACATCATAGGGGAAACTGTAAAAAATGTGGGGCTCGACAATTTTATAATGTTTTGATATAGTGCTGTACTTGGACTGGATAATTACTGTGAAAATCTATTTAAAAATAATTTAAAAAATAATTAAGGAAATGGGCTCTAAAATGTCTCTCCTCTCCTTACCGTTTAAGGTCAGGGAGTTCAGTGATAGGTCAGCCCACTTCATGGTGATCCAGTCTCTGTATTCAGCAACTTCCTGGGTCACCCGGATGATTCTGCCCAGTATACTGCAGGACACACAATAGTTTATATTACCACAGGTTAGAACAGTGGACACAATATTTTTTTCCCACTTAATATTGTTGAAAATATACAGTGCATTCGGAAAGTATTCAGACCCCTTGACATTTTCCACATTTTGTTACATTACAGCCTTGTTCTAAAATAGATTTTTTTTTTTATCTCATCAATCTACACACAATACCCATAAAGACAAAGTGAAAACAGGTTTTTAGAAATATTTGCAAACAAAAAACACTGAAATATGACATTTACATAAGTATTCAGACCCTTTACTTTGTTGAAGCACCTTTGGCAGCGATTACAGCCTCGAGTCTTCTTAGGTATGACGCTACAAGCTTGGCACACCTGTATTTGGGGAGTTTCTCCCATTCTTCTCTGCAGATCTTCAAGCTCTGTCAGGTTGGATGGTGAGCGTCGCTGCATAGCTATTTTCAGGTCTCTCCAGAGATGTTCCATCGGGTTCAAGTCCGGGCTCTGGCTGGGCCACTCAAGGACATTCAGAGACTTGTCCCGAAGCCACTCCTGCGTTGTCTTAGCTGTGTGCTTAGGGTCAAACCTTCTCCTCAGTCCGAGGTCCTGAGCGCTCTTGAGCAGGTTTTCATCAAGGATCTCTCTGTACTTTGCTCCGTTCATCTTTCCATCGATCCTGACTAGTCTCCAAGTACCTGCCGCTGAAAAACATCCCCACAGCATGATGCTGCCACCACCGTGCTTCACCGTAGGGATGGTGCCAGGTTTCCTCCAGACGTGACGCTTGGCATTAAGGCCGAAGAGTTCAATCTTGGTTTCATCAGACCAGAGAATCTTGTTTCTCATGGTCTGAGAGTCTTTAGGTGCCTTTTGGCAAACCCCAAGCGGGCTGTCATGTGCCTTTTACTGAGGAGTGGCTTCTGTCTGGCCACTCTACCATAAAAGCCTGATTGGTGGAGTGCTGCAGAGATGGTTGTCCTTCTGGAAGGTTCTCCCATCTCCACGGAGGAACTCTGGAGCTCTTTCAGATTGAGCATCGGGTTCTTGGTCACCTCCCTGACCAAGGCTCTTCTCCACCGATTGCTCAGTTTGGCCGGGCGGCCAGCTCTAGGAAGAGTGTTGGTGGTTCCAAACTTCTTTCATTTAAAGTATGATGGAGGCCACTGTGTTCTTGGGGACCGTCAATGCCGCAGATTTTTTTTTGTACCCTTCCCCAGATCTGTGCCTCGATACAATCCTGTTTTGGAGCTCTACGGACAATTCCTTCGACCTCACGGCTTGGCTTTTGCTCTGACATGCATGGTCAACTGTGGGATCTTATATAGACAGGTGTGTGCCTTTCCAAAACATGTCCAATCAATTGAATTTACCACAGGTGGACTCCAATCAAGTTGTAGAAACATCTCAAGGATGATCAATGGAAACAGGATGCACCGGAGATCAATTTCAAGTCTCATAGCAAAGGGTCTGAATACTAATGTAAATAAGGTATTTCTGTTTATTTTATTTTATAAATTTGCTAAAATTTTGAAAAAACCTGTTTTCGCTTTGTCATTATGGGGTACTGTGTGTAGATTGATGAGGGGGAAAAATAATGTAATCCATTATAGAATAAGGCTGTAACGTAACAAAATGTGGAAAAAGTCAAGGGGTCTGCATACTTTCCGAATGCACTGTATTATTCAATGTTCCATTCCCGGCAGTCAGCTCCAGCGAACCCATCACTCACAATTATGTGACTGTAACCCTCCCCATGTGTCCCAGCCCTGCCCCGTACCTCTCGCCGTGGTTGTTGGGGTGGTACTTGGCGATGGGCGACACAGCGTGGCTCAGCACCATGAAGGCATAGTCAAACACCTGCTTCACCTGCATGGCCCCGTATGAGCTACGGCCCACATCATTACCTGGGCAACACAGGAAAGACACCAAACTCTCAAGGTCAGATACAAGCTTAGACTTGGCAGGTGCTTATTGCAGGAGTTCTCAAACATCATCTCAATAAAACAACTGCATCTGATGTCTTATTAATGCAGAAGTCAGAAGCCACTACATTGAATGTGTAATTTTCAGAGATGCATCATATAGGTAGCTAGCTACCATTCTGTAACTAGCATATGCATTAAGCAGTCTTAAAACTACAGAGGTGTGTGCCGGGGCTCACCTGGCTGCAGTGGGTCCTCGATGTAGAGCAGGGAAGGTCTGTATCCATCCAGCATGCTCTTCTGGACCTCATCTTTGGAGAGGTAGCAGCCCCCGTCCTTGATCCGGATCCCCGTCTTCATGTAGTTAAAATGGCGGCCGTACAGCTCAAAGAACTCTATGAGTAGGACGCCAGTGTTGGCGTTGGGACTGCAGGCGTTCTCCCTGCTATGGAGCTGAAACACACATACAATATTGTCTATTACTTATTTCCATCTTAAGAACACGTAGTAGTAAGAACATTATGCTACTGGTGACAAATACCATTTGCCCTCTGGGGATCAATAAAGTTTATTCAATGGTACAAAATGTATTTCTCCTCACTCTCAATGGTTGAGGAAAGGCCGGAAAAATCCTTCATATAATCATTTTCTCCCCAATTTCGTGATATCCAATTGGTAGTTATAGTCTTGTCCCGTCGCTGCAACTCCAGTACGGAATCGGGAGAGGCGAAGGTCGAGAGCCATGCGTCCTCCGAAACACGACCCCGCCAAGCCGCACTGCTTCTTGACACACTGCTCGCTTAACCCGGAAGCCAGCCGCACCAATGTGTTGGAGGAAACACCGTACAGCTGGCGAACGAAGTCAGCGTGCATGCGCCCGGCCGCCACAAGGAGTCGTTTGAGCGCGATGGGTTAAGGACATCTCAGCCGGCCAAACCCTCCCCTAACCCGGACGACGCTGGGCCAATTGTGTGCCGCCTCATGGGTCACCCAGTCGCGACCGGCTGAGATACAGCTGGGATCGAACCTGGATCTTTAGTGACGCCTCTAGCACTGCGATGCAGTGCCTTAGACCGCTGTGCCACTTGGGAGGCCACATTTATATAATAATTTAATTAGAATACTAGATTGAGAGTATAATGATATAAGGATGACAGGCACTGACCCACCTGTAAGAAGCTGACAGCGACAAGGAAGAGGCAGTAGGAACTGATGCCTCCTGTAAACACTTCATTCATGTCTCTTTGTAATAAGAACTGCTTCAGGACTAGCACCAGGTACGGAAGCACAGGATATTTCTGAGGAGAAACAGACGGAGAGAGAACTTTACAACATTAGTTCACACCATGAGGATTGTGCCTAAATTCAGATGAGCTCAATCATTAGAAACACACACACACACACACTACCAGATAAGCTAAATGCCTTCCATGCTCACATCGAGGCAAGCAACACTGAACCACGCATGAGAGCACCAGCTGTTCCGGACGACTGTGATCACACTCTCCGTAGGAGATGTAAGACCTCTAAACAGGTTAACATTCACACTAAAAAACTAAAATAAATAAAAAACAATGTCTACACTGTATTTCTGATCAATTTTATGTTATTTTAATGGACAAAAAAATTGCTTTTCTTTCAAAAACAAAGACATTTCTAAGTGACCCCAAACTTTTGAACGGTAGTGTCCATGTTTCAAGCAGACCACCATAGTCCCTGTGGCCAAGAACACCAAGCTAACCTGTCTCCTCGTAACACTCACATCTGTAGCCATGAAAGGCTTTGAAAGGCTGGTCATGGCTCACATCAACACCATCATCCCAGACACCCTGGACCCACTCCAATTTGCATACCGCCCCAACAGATCCCCAGATGACGTAATCTTGATTGCACTCCACACTGCCCTCTCCCACCTGGACAAGAGGAACATCTATGTGAAAATGCTGTTCATTGACTACAGCTCAGCGTTGAACACCATAGTGCACTCCAAGGTCATCACTAAGCTTAGGACCCTGGGACTGAACACCTCCCTCTGCAACTGGATCCTGGAATTCCTGACGGGCCGCCCCCCAGGTGGTGAGAGTAGGCAACACATCCGCCACGGTGCCCCTCAGGGGTGTATGCCTAGTCCCCTCATGTACTCCCTGTTCACCCATGACTGCGTGGCCGCGCACCACTCCAACACCATCATTATGTTTGCTGACGACATGAAAGTGGTAGGACTGATCACCGACGATGATGAGACAGCCTATAGGGAGGTGGTCAGAGACCTGGCAGTGTGGTGCCAGGACAACAAACTCTCCCTCAACATCAGCAAGACAAAAGGAGCAGATCATGGACTACAGGAAACGGAGGGCCGAGCACACCCCCATTCACATTGACGGGGCTGTAGTGGAGCAGGTCGAGAGCTTTCAGTTCCTCTGTGTCCACATCACTAAGGATCTATCATGGTCCACACATCAACACAGCCGTGAAGAGGGCACGACAATGCCTCATCCCCCTCAGGAGGCTGAAAAGATTTGGCACGAGCCCTCAGATCCTCAAAAAGGTTCTACAGATTCACCATTGAGAGCATCTTGACTACAGCTGGCGACCAAAGTCAGCGTGCATGCGCCCGGCCCGCCACAAGGAGTCTCTAGAGCGCGATGGGACAAGGACATCCCAGCCGGCCAAACCCTCCCCTATCCCGGACGACGCTGGGCCAATTGTGTGCCGCCTCATGGATTCATGGATTGAACCCTGGTCTGTAGTGACGCCTTAGACGGCTGCGCCACTCGGGAAGCCTGCGCAGTGCCCTTTTGACAACAGTGTTTTCCCGCTCATTACATTATGGAATGAACATTCACACAGTCTACTGCCTTGTGCACATTGCTGTGCTTATAATGTGAAGAAATAATAGTTTATCAACATTTTAAACTAAACATTCTGATCTGTTGCATCAGACTCATTGCTTTTTAACTTGTTTTATTTAATGTAGCCTAGGCCTACTGGTTGTATGAATTTAGGATCTATCGTCCCACAACTGTCCCAGAGTCTGTCTGGAATAGGCCATTTTTTTCTCGACAAGCTGACCAATTGAATAGGTAGCCTAAACTTTTCTACTATAGTAGATTGACATAGGCTAGTGATTTTTATGTTCGTTACTCGTCTTGTTGGCTGAGGAAAAGTACATGTGGACAGTTATTCTAACATGTTCAAAGTGCACATCAGAATTCGGTAAGAAGGACCACACATCGTTGCATCCTCGACTTGCATGTTCTATTAATATGAATTACCATAATCTAAATGTGATTTCTGTCATTCTGAGCACCGTGGGTGGACGCCCTAATCAGGTTACGCACCTAATGCATATGGATCCGGTACATTTCTCAAATGTCCGGGAAATTAAAATGTTGCCAGTAAAATGTCCAGCACCACCTTTTCCTAACGGAAACCTTGGTATGACCCAGTACATCACTGTCAAGGACTCCAGCCACCCAAGTCATAGACTGTTCTTTCTGCTACCGCACGGCAAGTCTGGAACCAACAGGACCCTGAACAGATTCTACCCCCAAGCCATAAGACTGCTAAATATACTGAACAAAAACATAAAATGCAACATTTTCAAAGATTTTACTGAGTTACAGTTCATGAGGAAATCAGTCAATTGAAATAAATAAATGAGGCCCTAATCTATGGATTTCACATGAATGGGAATAGAGATATGCATCTGTTGGTCACAGACACCTTACAAAAAAGAATGGCCTCACAATGGGTCTCAGGATTCGTCATGGTATTTCTGTGCATTCAAATTGCCATCGATAAAATGCAATTGTGTTCGTTGTCCGTAGCTTATGCCTGCCCATACCATAACCCCACCGCCACCATTGGACACTCTATTCACAACGTTGACATCAGCAAACCGCTCGCCCACACGACACCATATACGAGGTCTGCGGTTGTGAGGACGATTGGATGTACTTCCAAATTCTCTAAAACAACGTTGGAGGCGGTTTATGGTAGAGAAATTAACATGAAATTCTGGCAACAGCTCTGATGGACATTCCTGCAGTCAGCATGCCAATTGCACGCTCCCTCAAAACTTGAGACATCTGTGGCATTGTGTTGTGTGACAAAACTGCACATTTTAGAGTGGCCTTTTATTGTCTCCAGCACAAGGTGGACCTGTGTAATGATCATGCTGTTTAATCAGCTTCTTGATATGCCACACCTGTCAAGTGGATGGATTATCTTGGCAAAGGAGAAATGCTCACTAACAGGAATGTAAACAAATGTGTGCACAAAAGTTGAGAGAAAATAGTTTTTTGTGCGTATGGAAAATTTCTGGGATCTTTTATTTCAGCTCATGAAACATGGAACCAACACTTACATGTTGCGTTTATATTTTTGTTCAGTGTAGTTAGTCCGGGTAGCTATTTGGTTAACTATCTGCATTGACCCTTTTTGCACTAACTTTGACTCATCACACACTCTGCTGTTACTGTTTATTATCTATCCCGTTGCCTAGTCACTTTATTCCTAATTATATGTACATATCTACCTCAATTAGCTTGTATCCCTGCACAACTCAGTACTGATACCCAGTGTATATAACCAAGTTACCTTTACTCATTGTGTATTTATTAGTACGTATTATTACTTTTCTATTATTTCTCAATTCTCTCTCTCTGCATTGTTGGGAAAGGCCCGTAAGTAAGTATTTCACTAATAGTCTAAACCTTTTCTTTATGAAGCATGTGACAAATACATTTTGATTTGACACACACACACACAGTACCTTTTTATAATCTTTGATGAGGGCAGCAGCTTTGACAGCATTCTTCATGTTGAAACTGATGTCAACTTTGACCTCCGTGAGAGAGTCTGTCAGTTTGATGATTGGCACCTAAAGACCAGATGAGATCAGATTTGACCGGCATACGGACACACCAATAATTCCCTGTCCAGAATTATGACCAAGTTCAACACACACTTAACAAGGCTTCCCACCACAGACAGACACACACTACCCATACCGTGGCCTTGTCCAGCACTTTTACAGAATTCTCCACCACCACTTTGTGTTTCCTCAGTGCCTCTTCTAACCTCCATAGAGGGAGGGTGTCTCCTTCCCTGAACTTCACAAACACCACCAGGTCAATGTCACTGCAACACCAACACACAGAATCGCATTATTATCACCAACTTACGCCAAGGAGGAATATAAAGGTTATTAATACCTTTTCAGTAAAGAAAGGACTTGAAATTCAACGACAGCTTACCTGGTGGGTAGATAGAGACCAGTGCTGAAACTTCCAAATACCTGAACCTGCAAAGCAAGTTCACACCATGAGTAATGAGATTGTGAAATTGCATATAAAACTCCCATGACAGCAACCATAAGCTATAACATTATCATATCGGTATGCATGCTAATAAGAATTACTACACCATTTCAAATTCAATAAATAACTGGACAAGGAAGTCAATGGTCAATGGCTTTACATCTCTGACTACAGTGAAGGTGATTGACTTACGTCAGCAGTGGGCCAAAGGTCCTTAATGACCCTCTCGATCCTCTCCACCACCTCCCTCCTCATCCTCTCCTCCTCCGGCCGCGGAGACATGTAGGCATAGAAGTCCTGGATCTCCTCATGGAGCCTGCAGAGTCAGAGACACACACCGTGGTTAGAACGTTGTGTTCTAGAACACGTTTGAAATACCTCAATAGTAATGCAGTCAGGGGTTCCCCGGTAGATTTATGACACTTGAAACATCCTACAACTTTTCACATGATTAATTCATTTCATTTCTTTATATCAAGTCTAGAGTTTATTGACAAACAAGTAGTCTAAATACCTATTACATGTAATATGTTTTTGTTTTAGCCAACTAATCCTATAGCACTACAGTATATAGACTAGAAGTGGCCTTCAGTCTGTCAGTGTGCTATGTAGCCTGTGATTACAGAGCAGGGAGTTACTATAAATACACTAGTGGGCAAGTATGCAACTATACTAAAGAGCAGCAGTGTGTATTCCCAGGAGGACATGACGTGCCAGCCAGCTGCTTTTCAATATGTCATCCGGAGGGTAATAAAGTGCTTTAGAATAACCCTCTCCTGAATGGTGCACGGGATAAGGCAATCTGCTGCATCACACTAGGATTTAAATACAGCACAGGAGGAGATAAGGTTCAAATTAAAAGTTTGGTTTGGTTTCTGCATGTACAGGTCTCAGAGCAGTAGTGGGTTTAACGGAAAAGCTCATAGTATAGGCCCCGGCCATTGTAAAATGTAATAGTTTTGGGTGTAGGCCCCATTTCTGATTCTGAAACTATATAGGATAGCTATGAAATATCTGCAATTCATGGAGCCCACACTATTATAAAATCTTACATTGAAAATGTAGGAATGCATGCCTTACATTGACTAAGACGAGTACCATAATCTTGTCAGTATGTCAAGTAAGAAGGAGTGTGTGGACCAGATGAGGCATTGGAATGTAGCAGAACTGGGCTAGCTTTGTGTGGCACCAGTTCAGATCTACCTGGTCAGGCTCTGTAGAAGGAAGCTAATGAGAGGATAACACAGGTCTGCTCCGACATGGACCACTACTCTTTCAACTCACATGAGCCCAAATGTGTCTATGCACTAGCCTTTTGATAAGACTTCTCATATTCTAACCAACTGCTGCTGAATAGAACATATGAAGTTCAGGGAAAGTAATCTTTATCAATGATGAGCTAGAAAATACATTGCCTGGCTACCTACACTCCTCCTTGCTCCGGCCAAACACTACGCCACGCGTTAGTTTCTTCTCGAAAGACAGAGCAGAGGAAGAATTTAGTTTGCTGTCTCTGCCTGGCCGGCTCCCCTCTCTCCACTGGGATTCTCTGCCTCTGACTATTACCGGGGCTGAGTCACTGGCTTGCTAGTGCACTCCCATGCCGTCCCTAGGAGTGGTGCATCACGTCTTGCCAGGCTTTTTTCACTATACTCGACTTGAGTAGGTTGAGTCACTGAATTTATCTTCCTGTCCGGTCTTGCGCCCCCCTCGGGCTCATGTGGTGGAGGAGATCTTCGTGGGCTATACTCAGGGTAGTAAGTTGGTGGTCTGTTAATATCCCTCCGGTGGTGTGGGGGCTGTGTTTTGGCAAAGTGGGTGGGGTTATATCCTGCCTGGTTGGGCCTGTCCAGGGCCACAGTGTCCCCTAAACCCCCCTGTCTCAGTCCCCAGTATCTATGCTGCAATAGTCTATGTGCCGGGGGGCTGGGGTCAGTCTGTCCTATCTGGTGTATTTCTCCTATCTTATCTGGTGTCCTGTGTGATCTTAAGTATGCGCCCTCTAATACTCCCATCTCCTCTCCCCCCCCGGAGGACCTGAGCCCTAGGACCATGCCTAACGACTGGAACCCTCACCTGTTCATCGGACCTGCTACCTTATCCTAGACGTGCTGTTTTGACCCTCTCTCTCCCGCACCTGCTGTCTCGACCTCTGAATGCTCTGCTATGAAAAGCCAACTGACATTTACTCCTGAGGTGCTGACCTGTTGCACCCTCTATAACTACTGTGATTATTATTTGACCCTGCTTGTCATCTATGTAGAACGATCTAGCCTTAATGGCCATGTACTCTTATAAACTCCACCGGCACAGCCAGAAGAGGACTGGCCACTCCTCAGAGCCTGGTTTCTCTCTAGGTTTCTTCCTAGGTTCCTGCCTTTCTAGGGAGTTTTTCCTAGCCACTGTGATTGTACATCTGCTTGCTCTTTGGGGTTTTAGGCTGGGTTTCTGTATGAGCACGTTGTGACATATGCTGATGTAAAAAGGGCTTTATAAATAAATGTTATTGATTGACTGATTGATTTAGTTTGAGCAGAGAGGAAGGGGTCGTCACTAGTTACCACAGCCACAAAGTAATAAACCCCGCCTATTTCTACAATCTATCTTCTTAAAAAAGTGCTTTTAAACACAACCACAACGCTAACCTTATGCCTAACCTTAAATTATGACCAAAAGGCCAATTTGTGTTTACATGAATTTGTATGATATAGCCACATTGGCTAGAATGGTCCCATCTGATCTTGCCTCCTCGGGACCGCCCTCCATTTTTGACGACATTTATTTTCATCGTTAGCGCGGCCACTAGAGTATCTGGTCAATATAATGGATAATCTGTGGTTTGAGATGTTCACTCAGATTAGAAAAACAGACAATGTGGGATCCTTCTGTGTGAGAAATCATCTCATGTAGATCAATTTATCAGGTATAAATTCTTGCCAACCCACAAAAGTCCCTCCCTGTGCTCTGTAATACATAGTCAGCCAGACAGTTCAAACATGACAAGTTAGAGCAGTTCTGCTGCCCCAGGCATCCTTCCTTACCCCAAAATCCCTGCAGGGTAGTTCCTGGTTTTCCAAGGCGTGTCCGTGTAACCAACTCTACGGCATCCAGCGTCGTCCACAGCAGAGTTGCTGCTAATACTCAATAAACTGCGGTTAAAACCGAAAGTGCTCGCTCGGTTGTCTCTCCTCCGTCTGTTCCCAAATCCGTATTCTCTCCCTCTCCAGCTACCGAATGCAGTTCCACCCACAACCCCGGCACCACTACTGCCCCTCCCCGCAGGATACTGGTTGATATTTGCTTCCAATAAGTCGGATAGCTGTTCTATTTCATTATCGCCTTTTGGATTAATCGTCCCTTGCATTCTCGCCTCACTGCTGCTCGTGCCACCGTCGGGGACTCCGTCCTGAATCACGTTTCCCGTGCCCCCGTTCACCGATACCGTTGTACTAGGACTCGTCTTGGTGGTGGGCGTGTTCGAGACAGCAGAGCCGTGGTTGTTATGATTATTCAAACTGAAATTGCCCAGACCATGAGTCGTTATCCAAATCTTCAACCACGCGCTGTTGGCAGTGCCGAGCTGTTCTGGCTGGAACCAAGCGATTCTTGGATCCATGAAGTGAAGCGCACGGGCGACGCACCCGTGCACGGCACGCTCGCTGCTGGCTAGGTGTACGTGACTGGCACTGTCATAATAGCGGTAACTACACCGAGCTGCTAACGATGCAGGAGGTTTGACAACTTCTGTGTACAGTATATGCAAATCCAATAATGTAGATGTAGACAACAGTCTGTATTAACACGACACCAAATTAAATTGTGGAAATACAGACATCGAGTACATACTAAGAACAAAACGTGTCAAGCTGTGTGTAATTTTCTTCAGGGACTCCATCAATGGCGGAACTGATAGTATTGCTCAAACCAAAGATGATGGATATACTGACAAGATACATGTCTCTTTGCCCAAACAATGGGAGTAGTTGTCCACAAAGCGGCACGGCGGGATCCTTTCTTTGGATTGGTGGATATCTCATTATAATCCTTTTTTGAACCGCCTGTATTCACTGGAGAGAGATGCTATGTTACTAGCCTCATGCCATGAATATCCATAGCCATCCCGAGACAACTCCGATAGTGTTTTTTCTCAGTTGCCGGGATGTCACGTGTCCTACTTATATCAGTACACTAACAACTTTAAGCATTACGAAACTAATATTCAATCAAATAATCCTCACGTAGCCAATAAACCATTAATTTTTTGATTGACCAAATTCGAAACTCCCATTGGCCTCCATACAAAAACTCATTGCGAAGCAACGGGAAAAAAACGCAACCTGCTGGAGGGCGACAGACTTTCCGCCGAGTTGGCCCTCTCTCTTCCTCTTCCTCTCTGCTCAAACGCCACTCATGGACGGTAGATTGTCATGTCTAGATGGGATACAGCTTTTGTCAAATTTACGTCAAAAGTTTTTTGTTTTGCATTTTAGCTAACCCTAACCCTTTAACTTACCTTGACCCAATTATCATAACCTGCTACGTTAATTATCCTAACATGCTGCGTAAATTCTCCAAAACCTGCTATGAAAAGTCCATTTTGACAAAAGCTGTACCCATTCTAGACAAAACCCAGTAGACCGGAGGTAGGTGGGTGCTGAGAGGTGTTTCCGAAATCACACCAAGTAGAAAATTCACCAAGTTTAACATCACTGTAGCTGCTGGAAAACAATACATCTGCTTAAAATATAAACAAAATAGACTTCAATCTATATTTTATCTATCTATTTCATTTGATGTTATTGAATATTTCCACTACTATTAATTAATATCTGTTTTTGGCAGTGCCAATACAATTATTTAGGTGGTTAAATATAGTTTTTAAATCAGCAATAATAACCACTGAATTCCACATCCCTCAAGAATGCTTTCTTCCTCTGAAGTTAGTTACCCGGCCTTATAGGCACAGATCTACGATCAGATTACCTACCCCAAATCCTATCCTTTACCGTGAGGGAGTAACATGCAAAAATGATCGTAGATCCTCTCCAATCTGCGCGCTGCAGAAAGGTGAATCTTCGATCGATTGGTCGAGTCTGAGTTTTATACCGCAAGGCGTGGATACGAGCTCGTGGAAACATTTAGGATTCAAAGTGGCAGTTTACTGAAAAACAAAGCTTTTTGCAGTCACTCAGAAGACTGACATATAGTGTAGTGTCAAAAGTACCAGAATCTCCAATTGAAATGGCCAATGACAACGCGAAACTCTCCAAAAACCTCTTGCGTATGAAGGTAAGAAATGCATGCTAACTAGTTAGTTATCCAACTAGCCGCTAGCTAACGTTAGCAAAGTTGCCTCTGCTAGTAGACACGTTGCTAAACCTCAGTCTGATGGAGCTGTTGATAAATGGTAAAAGTGGCATCCAACTAAAACCATCTCTGATCTAGCTAGCTAGCCAAGTAACCTGGCTAACTAGGCTTGAGCAACCAGGCTAGCTTTGCTGGCTAACTTATTTGGTTTGTCAGGTGAGATATCTTTGTCAACACACTTTTCAGTAAGCTAACTAGATAAGTATTGTGTTTTGTAGCTTGTTCAGACCTATGGCTATGGGTTCTCTCCAACACCTTTTCAATTGTAAGGGATTCATATGACACCCTGTTGAAGTTACTCAGCAATGTCAGACTCCAATGCACGTCTTGTACTGTACTTCTACATTTGCCATTCTGTCTACTAGTTTATGCAAAGAGGCCTGGATGCAGATACAAAGAAACAACTGGAAGAAGAGGAGAGGAGGATCATCAGTGACGAGCATTGGTATCTGGACCTGCCAGAACTCAAAGCTAAAGAGTATGACCCTTTCACTGTCCACCTGCACATATTGGGATAATTACATAAGGATTGTCAAAGTTGCGTCAATTCAAATCTGGCATTAGGAACAAAAGAGGTCAACACAACTTCTAAGATATACTAGTTATTTTAATTAATGCAAAAACCTTTAATGGTAAATATGATGTTTCGTATATACGGGCTCCTTGAAATACCTCGCAGGGCACTTCAGAGAACTAAATCCATTGTTCCAGGTTCTTCCTCAAATACTCTGACAGAGAGAGAGTTTCCCACCTCTCTGCTGGCCAATCAGAGTAGAGACTTGAGCGTGGTTTAGACTTACTCAGCCAATCCGTTGGCGCACAGGCTAGTCCCCCCGCCTCTTAGCGCATCCCTGTTTCCAGGCATACGTTTATCATAACAACCTGTCATGGTGAGAAGAGCCAGCTCCCCTAGACACCATTCCTACGTCCAAGGATGGTTCACAGATCACAAAGAACCAGTATTGTCTAGTATTTGGAGACATAAATCCTTATCTCATTTTACCCCCTAAAACAGCTCTTCACATCAATCACAGCTTGCCAGGTGACACAACCTACATTAGCCCAGTCAAGAATGCATTATTTCTAAGTTAGTCATCCCATCAATTATAAAAAATAATAAATCCCCCATAGGATGTAGGCTAGTTTGAAGACACAACTGCCACTCTTTTCCAATGTCCAGCAACATACCATCAGACATTGGAGAGAGATTAGTATTTTCTCTAGTGTCCTCGGCTCAAATGTTGGCATATGTTATATTGTTCTTCCTGTCTTTGGTTAGGAATTTCATCATAGAAGAAAGAAGTTTTGGGCCATGTGAAGACCTGAAGTATGGACGAATGTCATTCAAGGGGTTCAATACAGAAGTAGAGGTACTTGTTTATTTACAATCACAGCTTTATGGTTTATCAAATTAAGACTAGACAAATTAAATGTGATTGTTTCATTGGTGTAAATGTTTAATTCTCCGTCCAGAAACTAATGATAGTGATGAACGCTCCAAATGAGGAAGAGGAGGAAGAGGAGGAAATTAGCAGAATGGAGACTGATATCACAGATGAAGACATGGCTAGAAGGTAGGAAAGAACTCATGTTTTATTTTGACATGATTTCAAACTGTTTTGTTACATCGCCGTCTGATGAACTTTTCTCTCTACATTGTAGGTATGAGAGCTTAGTGGGAAGCATGAAAAAGAAGTTTGCTAAGAAGCGGGAGAGGTCTGCGATTGAGGATGTTAAGCAAAACGCAACTGAGACAGAAACAAAGAGGGCTTTTTTGAAGCCTCAGGACTGAGGGCATGCTTTTTATTTAAATGAAGTATGTCAGGACTGTCAGGATGTTTTTATGTGCATCAAACTTTTTTTTTTTTTTACTGCTGTGTTTTCATGAACCATAGGTAACTTCCATAGATGTTACAGGCATATATTTGAAAGTTGAATGGATGTTATATATCCTCTTTTAAAAAATATATTTCTTCAAGATGCATTGAGGGTTATGGACACAGGAAATGAAGCCCACATTCTTGTACCATGGACAAGGGTATAGTTTCATTAAAACTATAACCCAATGTGGCGGTTTGTCTTGTTTTCTGTGAGAAATGGACAAAAAAATTACTTCATTCAAACAATAACAAGTAAGGGTTTTCAATAGCCTTGATTATGAAGCTGTCAAAGTGCTGTGTTGATACAAAGCCTGCCAACCAAGCATGAGGGAAGATGGAGAGATACTAATCTATGGAAGCATTCCCATAAAGAACCTTGGGAAAGAATAGCCCGACATCACATCAGTTATCTCGCATTTTATCAAGTCTTCGAACCCACTGAGCCTCCTGCCTGGAGCCCAGCTGGCAGACTACTATTGAACTGAAACAGACTTGTAATAATGATGTCATAGAACTGTGTGGGGCAGAGGCGGTGGAGGCAGGGGATGAGCCACGCAGACTGGCCAGGGGTGTAGACGGATCTGGGGGCCACTGACATCAGGGCGTGGCACATGTCATCTAGCACGGGATGCAGGTCCTCTGAGGACATGTCGGCCATCTTGGAAAAGCGGGTCTGGAGAGAGGAGATGTAGGCCTCGCCGTAGTCCTTCCGGACATCCTGGGATAGAGAGGTGAAGATCTCCTCTTGGTAGCGGCTCCAGTCATCACTGCTACCGAAGATATCTGCGTTTTCAACCAAATGATAGACAAGTCCGTTGATTAGGCAAATCAAAACGGGGAAAACAATGTTTATTTAAAGGTACAGTAGACTCAGCGATGCACAAAGTAAACAGCAGTACTGGGTACATTTCCGCAACAACTAAGAGCGCTGGAGAGTGAGGCTGAAGTTCTCCGCTGTCTCAGGTCATAGCATTTACATTTTCAACTCATAACATTTTGTCATTATTTATTATACATACTTGTCCTGAAGCCTGCAGGTTGAATTGTGGATACGTTGACACCCCATCTGGCCAACTCTAGTCTCATCACTCCAGAGAAGGTGTTCAGGGCTGCTTTGGATGCTCCATAGGCCACAAACCCAGGGACGGGCACATCACCTGCACAAACAGATTTTTTGGTTTATCGTCAACAGGAAAGGGTTAGGGTTAACGTTGAGCACAGAGTCGCATGTCAAACTGGCTACAGGTACAAGATTCGTTATATTTACAGTTTCCTCACCTTATAAGGCTGTCTGAGTAGTAGTGGAGGTTATTGGCCAACTTTACATGCTTGGAAATTGCTTGGCCAGCTATACTTGCTTTGAAATTGCATTGGTGTCATAAGTGGGATAGTTGTAATCCTGTTTCCGTAGCCAGTATAACTTGTGAGTGACTGCTCAAGGTTAACCCTAACCCTTTGTTTTGACAATAACCAATAAACAGTCCACATATGTTACCTGCCATACTGCAGACGTTGACTAGCCTGCCTCTGGAGTGTCGGAGCATTGGAAGAAACACCTGAGAGACCTCTACTGCAGCAAGGAAGTTCACTGCCAAGCATTCCCTGTATACTCTCACAGGCAGAATCTCTCCATCTGCCACAAAGCCCAGGACTCCCGCGTTATTCACAATCCCCCAAAGACCTGAGAGTCAAAGGGAGTGTGGACTTGAGACCTTCCATGTCATGTGCATTATGGCATTATTTGGGTCAGAAAAGGATCACTTCTTTCTCCATATACAGTGGGGAGAACAAGTATTTGATATACTGCCGATTTTGCAGGTTTTCCTACTTACAAAGCATGTAGAGGTCTGTAATTTTTATCATAGGTACACTTCAACTGTGAGAGACGGAATCTAAAACAAAAATCCAGAAAATCACATTGTATGATTTTTAAAGTAATTAATTTGCATTTTATGGCATGACATAAGTATTTGATACATCAGAAAAGCAGAACTTAATATTTGGTACAGAAACCTTTGTTTGCAATAACAGAGATCATACGTTTCCTGTAGGTCTTGACCAGGTTTGCACACACTGCAGCAGGGATTTTGGCCCACTCCTCCATACAGACCTTCTCCAGATCCTTCAGGTTTCGGGGCTATCGCTGGGCAATACGGACTTTCAGCTCCCTCCAAATATTTTCTATTGGGTTCAGGTCTGGAGACTGGCTAGGCCACTCCAGGACCTTGAGATGCTTCTTACGGAGCCACTCCTTAGTTGCCCTGGCTGTGTGTTTCGGGTTGTTGTCATGCTGGAAGATCCAGCCACGACATCTTCAATGCTCTTACTGAGGGAAGGAGGTTGTTGGCCAAGATCTCGCGATACATGGCCCCATCCATCCTCCCCTCAATACGGTGCAGTCGTCCTGTCCCCTTTGCAGAAAAGCATCCCCAGAGAATGATGTTTCCACCTCCATGCTTCACGGTTGGGATGGTGTTCTTGGGGTTGTACTCATCCTTCTTCTTACTCCAAACACGGCGAGTGGAGTTTAGACCAAAAAGCTATATTTTTGTCTTATCAGACCACATGACCTTCTCCCATTCCTCCTCTGGATCATCCAGATGGTCATTGGCAAACTTCAGACGGGCCTGGACATGCGCTGGCTTGAGCAGGGGGACCTTGCGTGCGCTGCAGGATTTTAATCCATGACGGCGTGGTGTGTTACTAATGGTTTTCTTTGAGACTGTGGTCCCAGCTCTCTTCAGGTCATTGACCAGGTCCTGCCATGTAGTTCTGGGCTGATCCCTCACCTTCCTCATGATCATTGATGCCCCACGGGGTGAGATCTTGCATGGAGCCCCAGACCGAGGGTGATTGACCGTCATCTTGAACTACTTCCATTTTCTAATAATTGCGCCAACAGTTGTTGCCTTCTCACCAAGCTGCTTGCCTATTGTCCTGTAGCCCATCCCAGCCTTGTGCAGGTCTACAATTTTATCCCTGATGTCCTTACGCAGCTCTCTGGTCTTGGCCATTGTAGAGAGGTTGGAGTCTGTTTGTTTGATTGAGTGTGTGGACAGGTATCTTTTATACAGGTAACAAGTTCAAACAGGTGCAGTTAATACAGGTAATGAGTGGAGAACAGGAGGGCTTTTTAAAGAAAAACTAACAGGTCTGTGAGAGCCGGAATTCTTACTGGTTGGTAGGTGATCAAATACTTATGTCATGCAATAAAATGCAAAAAATCATACGATGTGATTTTCTGGATTTTTGTTTTAGATTCCGTCTCTCACAGTTGAAGTGTACCTATAATAAAAATTACAGACCTCTACATGCTTTGTAAGTAGGAAAACCTGCAAAATCGGCAGTGTATCAAATACTTGTTCTCCCCACTGTATGTAAAGTTTGGTGCCTTTTCCAATGACATCTATTGTTGCTTTTCCACTGAGACTTACCCCCAAACTAGTGGGTCACCCGTGTTTTATGTTAATGTAAGCTCTAGTGTTGTTTCCAATAGGAGTGTGACACTAAAGACTTGTGGCGAGCAGATCAACAACTTTCTTTGTGAGAAGGTGTTAAAGTTCAGTTAGCCATTGTGACGTACAGCCAGTTTATTAGGTACATCCATCTAGTACCGGGTCGGACCCCCCTGTAGCCATGAAGGGATGCATCTGATCAGCAACAATGTCCAGATATGTTGTGGTGTTAAAGCGTTGCTCAATTGGTATCAAGGGACCTAACGTTTGCCAGGAAAACATTCCCCACACCATTACACCACCGCCACCAGCCTGTACCGTTGACACCAGGCAGGATGGGGCAATGGACTCATGCTGCTTACGCCAAATCCTGACTATGGCATCAGAATAAAATGTTATTTGTCACATACACGTGTTTAGCAGATGTTATAGCGGGTGTAGCGGGATTTTCCATGCATCGGCAGGACAGAGAAGCTACGTCTGGTAAGACGAGGGGCGGGGGGGTGTGTCAATTTGTCAATAACAGCTGGTGCGGAATGTCTAATATTAAAGAAGTCTCGAGGTATTGCTCGCCTGAGGTAGAGTACCTTATGATAAGCTGTAGACCACACTATCCACCAAGAGAGTTCTCATCTATATTATTCGTAGGCGTCTATTTACCACCACAAACCGATGCTGGCACTAAGACCGCACTCAACAAGCTGTATAAGGCCATAAGCAAACAAGAAAATGCTCATCCAGAAGCGGCGAGCCTAGTGGCCGGGGACTTTAATGCAGACAAACAAATCGTTTTACCTCATTTCTACCAGCATGTCACAAACAAAACTGTAGACCACCTTTACTCCACACACAGAGACGTATGCAAAGCTCTCCCTCGCCCTCCATTTGGCAAATCTGACCATAATTCTATCCTCCTGATTCCTGCTTACAAGCAAAAACTAAAGCAGGAAGTACCAGTGAATCGCTCAATACGGAAGTGGTCAGATGACGCGAATGCTACGCTACAGGACTGTTTTGCTAGCACATGTTCCGGGAGTCATCCAACGGCATTGAGGAGTATACCACCTCAGTCATCGGCTTCATCAATAAGTGCATCGACGACGTTGTCCCCACAGTGACCGTACGTACATATCCCAACCAGAAGCGATGGATTACAGGCAACATCCGCATCGAGCTAAAGGCTAGAGCTGCCGCTTTCAAGGAGCAGGACATTAATCCGGATGCTTATAAGAAATCCCACTATGCCCTCAGATAAACCATCAAACAGGCAAAGCGTCAATACAGGATTAAGATTGAATCCTACTACACCGGCTCTGATGCTCGTCGGATGTGGCAGGGCTTGAAAACTATTACGGACTACAAAGGGAAACCCAGCCGCGAGCTGTCCAGTGACGCGAGCCTACCAGATGAGCTAAATGCCTTTTATGCTCGCTTCGAGGCAAGCAACACTGAAGCATGCATGAAAACACCAGCTGTTCCGGACGACTGTGTGAAAACGCTCTCGGTAGCCGATGTGAGCAAGACCTTTAAACAGGTCAACATTCACAAAGCTGCGGGGCCAGACGGATTACCAGGATGTGTACTCAAAGCATGCGCGGACCAACTGGCAAGTGTCTTTACTGACATTATCAACCTCTCCCTGACTGAGTCTGTAATATTTACAGTGAGGGGGAAAAAGTATTTGATCCCCTGCTGATTTTGTACGTTTGCCCACTGACAAAGACATGATCAGTCTATAATTTTAATGGTAGGTTTATTTGAACAGTGAGAGACAGAATAATAACAAAGAAATCCAGAAAAACGCATGTAAAAAATGTTATAAATTGATTTGCATTTTAATGAGGGAAATAAGTATTTGACCCCCTCTCAATCAGAAAGATTTCTGGCTCCCAGGTGTCTTTTATACAGGTAACGAGCTGAGATTAGGAGCACACTCTTAAAGGGAGTGCTCCTAATCTCAGTTTGTTACCTGTATAAAAGACACCTGTCCACAGAAGCAATCAATCAATCAGATTCCAAACTCTCCACCATGTCCAAGACCAAAGAGCTCTCCAAGGATGTCAGGGACAAGATTGTAGACCTACACAAGGCTGGAATGGGATACAAGACCATCGGCAAGCAGCTTGGTGAGAAGGTGACAACAGTTGGTGCGATTATTCGCAAATGGAAGAAACACAAAATAACTGTCAGTCTCCCTCGGCCTGGGGCTCCATGCAAGATCTCACCTCGTGGAGTTGCAATGATCATGAGAACGGTGAGGAATCAGCCCAGAACTACACGGGAGGATCTTGTCAATGATCTCAAGGCAGATGGGACCATAGTCACCAAGAAAACAATTGGTAACACACTAGGCCGTGAAGGACTGAAATCCTGTTCAATCCCAGGCTGTGTCACAACCGGCCGTGACCGGGAGTCCCATAGGGCGGCGCACAATTGGCCCAGTGTCGTGAGGGTTTGGCCGGTGGGGCATTACTTGGCTCATCGCTCTCTAGCGGCTCCTTGTGGCGGGCCGGGCGCCTGCAGGCTGACTTCGGTCGACAGTTGACCGGTGTTTCCTCCGACACATTGGTGCGGCTGGCTTCCGGGTTAAGTGGGCGGGTGTTAAGAAGCGCGTTTTGGAGGGTCATGTTTCGGAGGACGCATGACTTGACCTTCGCCTCTCCCGAGCCCATTGGGGAGTTGCAGCGATGAGACAAGATCGTAATTGGATTGCTTCCCGGCAGTGCTGTGGGTATGGAAAGGAACACAAAAGATGGAATTCACAAGTGCCAATGTCAATTCCATCTTAACAGGCTGCAAGAAACCTTTCCAGTTGAAAGAGAGCCCAATGCCCTGAGGAGAGGACGAAGCTGGAAAAAGTGATAAGTACACTAGGCTTCATACAGTGATGCCCAAGACCAGTTTATCGTAACTTGGATTTCTTCAAATGTTATTGTGTTACAAAGTGGGATTAAAATTGATTTGTAAATTTTTTGTCAACGATCTACACAAAACTCTAATGTCAAAGTGGAAGAACAATTCTAACATTCTTTTTAGATTAATGAAAAATAAAACACTAATATACTTTGATTAGTTAAGTATTCACCCCCCTGAGTTAGAAACACCTTTGGCAGTGATTACAGCTGTGAGTCTTTTTGGGTAAGTCTCATAAGAGCTTTGCACACCTGTTTTGTGCAATTATTCTTTTTTAAAGTCTTCAAGCTCTGTCAAGTTGGTTGTTGATCATTGCTAGACTGCCATTTTCAAGTCTTGCCATAGATTTTCAAGTACAATCCAGGTGTGCAAGCAGAGGTGTAGGCATCCTGATAAATAAGAATATGGACCAAGAATGCTGCTTTCTAATGTTGAATTATGCCTTACATGATGAAAAATACAAATTGATTTCATTGCATATCCCACCAGGGGCAAATATTTTATATATATATATATATACACAGTGAGGGGAAAACGTTTTTGATCCCCTGCTGATTTTGTATGTTTGCCCACTGACAAAGAAATGGTCAGTCTATAATTTTAATGGTAGGTTTATTTGAACAGTGAGAGACAGAATAACAACAAAAAAATCCAGAAAGACGCATGTCAAAAATGTTATAAATTGATTTGCATTTTAATGAGGGAAATAAGTATTTGACCCACTCTCAATCAGAAATATTTCTTGTATACAGGTAACGAGCTGAGATTAGGAGCACACTCTTAAAGGGAGTGCTCCTAATCTCAGCTTGTTACCTGTATAAAAGACACCTGTCCACAGAAGCAATCAATCAATCAGATTCCAAACTCTCCACCATGGCCAAGACCAAAGAGCTCTCCAAGGATGTCAGGGACAAGATTGTAGACCTACACAAGGCTGGAATGGGCTACAAGACCATCGCCAAGCAGCTTGGTGAGAAGGTGACAACAGTTGGTGCGATTATTCGCAAATGGAAGAAACACAAAATAACTGTCAATCTCCCTCGGCCTGGGGCTCCATGCAAGATTTCACCTCGTGGAGTTGCAATGATCATGAGAATGGTGAGGAATCGTCCCAGAACTACACGGGAGGTTCTTGTCAATGATCTCAAGGCAGCTGGGACCATAGTCACCAAGAAAACAATTGGTAACACACTACGCCGTGAAGGACTGAAATCCTGCAGCGCCCGCAAGGTCCCCCTGCTCAAGAAACCACATATACAGGCCCGTCTGAAGTTTGCCAATTAACATCTGAATGATTCAGAGGAGAACTGGGTGAAAGTGTTGTGGTCAGATGAGACCAAAATCGAGCTCTTTGGCATCAACTCGCCGTGTTTGGAGTAGGATGAATGCTGCCTATGACCCCAAGAACACCATCCCCACCGTCAAACATGGAGGTGGAAACATTATGCTTTGGGGGTGTTTTTCTGCTAAGGGGACAGGACAACTTCACCGCATCAAAGGGACGATGGACGGGGCCATGTACCGTCAAATCTTGGGTGAGAACCTCCTTCCCTCAGCCAGGGCATTGAAAATGGGTCGTGGGTGGGTATTCCAGCATGACAATGACCCAAAACACACGGCCAAGGCAACAAAGGAGTGGCTCAAGAAGAAGCACATTAAGGTCCTGGAGTGGCCTAGCCAGTCTCCAGACCTTAATCCCATAGAAAATCTGTGGAGGGAGCTGAAGGTTCGAGTTGCCAAACGTCAGGCTCGAAACCTTAATGACTTGGAGAAGATCTGCAAAGAGGAGTGGGACAAAATCCCTCCTGAGATGTGTGCAAACCTGGTGGCCAACTACAAGAAACGTCTGACCTCTGTGATTGCCAACAAGGGTTTTGCCACCAAGTACTAAGTCATGTTACTTACTTCCCTCATTAAAATGCAAATCAATTTATAACATTTTTGACATGCATTTTTCTGGATTTTTTTGTTGTTATTCTGTCTCTCACTGTTCAAATAAACCTACCATTAAAATTATAGACTGATCATGTCTTTGTCAGTGGGCAAACGTACAAAATCATCAGGGGATCAAATAGTTTTTTCCCTCACTGTATGTATGAATGCATATATATATATATATATATATATATATATATATATATATATATATATATATATATATTCAAGCTATATTAGATCTATATATTAGATATATTAGATCTATATATACTTTTTTCCCTCACTGTACATGTTTCAAGCAGACCACCATAGTCCCTTTGCCCAAGGAAGTGAAGATAACCTGCCTAAATGATTACCGCCCCGTAGCACTCACGTCGGTAGCCATGAAGTGCTTAGAAAGGCTGGTCATGGCTCACATCAACAGCGTCATCCCGGTTACCCTAGACCCACTCCAATTCGCATATCGCCCCAACAGGTCCACAGATTACGGAATCGCACTCCACACTGCCCTATCCCACCTGGACAAAAGGAACACCTATGTGAGAATGCTGTTCATTGACTACAGCTCAGCATTCAACACCATAGTGCCCACAAAGCTCATCACTATGCTAAGGACCCTGGGACTAAACACCTCCCTCTGCAACTGGATCCTGGACTTCCTGACGGGCTGCCCCCAGGTGGTAAGGGTAGGCAACAACATGTCTGCCACGCTGATCCTCAACACTGGGGCCCCTCAGGGGTGCGTGCTTAGTCCCCTCCTGTACTCCCTTCTCACTCACGACTGCGTGGCCAAACACCATCATTAAGTTTGCTGACGACACAACAGTGGTAGGCCTGATCACCGACAACGATGAGACAGCCTATAGGGAGGAGGTCAGAGACCTGGCAGTGTGGTGCCAGGACAACAACCTCTCCCTCAATTTGAGCAAGACAAAGGAGCTGATCGTGGACTACATGAAAAGGCGGGCCGAACAGGTCCCCATTAACATCGACAGCGCTGTAGTGGAGCGGGTCGAGAGTTTCAAGTTCCTTGGTGTCCACATCACCAACAAACTATCATGGTCCAAACACACCAAGACAGTCGTGAAGAGAGCACGACAACACCTTCCCCCTCAGGAGACTGAAAAGATTTGGCATGGGTCCCCAGATCCTCACAAAGTTCTACAGTTGCACCATCGAGAGCATCCTGACCGGTTGCATCATCGCCTGGTATGGCAACTGCTCGGCATCTGACCGTAAGGCGCTACAGAGGGTAGTGCGTACGGCCCAGTACATCACTGGGGCCAAGCTTCCTGCCATCCAGGACCTATTTACTAGGCAGTGTCAGAGGAAAGCCCAAAAAATTGTCAAAGACTCCAGTCACCCAAGTCATAGACTGTTCTCTCTGCTACCGCACGGCAAGATCTACCGGAGCGCCAAGTCTAGGACCAAAAGGCTCCTTAACAGCTTCTACCCCCAAGCCATAAGACTGCTGAACAATTAATCAATTGACCCCCCGGACTATTTACATTGACCCCCCCCCCCATTTGTTTTTACACTGCTGCTACCCGCTGTCTATTATCTATGCATAGTCACTTTACCCCTACCTACATGTACAAATTACCTTGACTAACCTGTACCCCCGCACATTGACTCGGTACCGGTACCCCCCTATTTATAGCCTCGTTATTGTGTTACTTTTCGTTTTTTTCCCCTTTAGTTTATTTGGTAAATATTGTATTAACTCTTTCTGCGTGAAAAGCCCAGGAGGCTGGTCGTTTGAGATACTGGAACCTGGGTGCCTGGCACCGACGATCATACCACGCTCAAAGTCGCTTAGGTCACTCGTTTTGCCCATTTTAACGTTCAATCAAACCGTAACTGAATGTCTCTGCCTGTCTGCCTGCTTTATCTAGCAAGCCACAGCCACTTGACTCACTGTCTGTAGGAGCTAGCCATTTTCGTGAACTGGGTGGTGTACCTAATAAACTGAAAAGTACCCAGGGCGTTGCCTTGGCTCTACGTCAGAGCCAGTCCGCCGGAACCATGGCCCAGTGAGACACAGGTGCCGGTCCGCATAGATGGAAACAGAAAAGTCAGCCTTTTGGGTTAAACACTGGGGTAAATCCTCAGTGGAAATGCGCCTTATAGTTCTTATAGTGAACGACACGTTACCTGCCTCCCCAACCTGAGTGCAGATGTAGTGGTGAGCCCGCTTTATCTGCCCAGCGTCTGTCACATCCAGCTGAACGACTTGTAGCCCCTCAGACCCCAGTCTCTTCAGCTCCACTGCTCCTGGGCTGGTCTCATCCAGAACCCCAGCAAACACAGTCACTCCCAAGTCAGTAAGCCTTCTCGCTAGGGCATGACCAAAACCTGTATCACAACCTGTTCACGTTGGAGAGAAACAAATAAATTGGACACCAGTTGACACACTGTACCAATGTTCACGTGTACTTCATTCATGAGTACCCAAAGCACTCACAGCAGTATTGAAACCACATTCAATAAGATTGTACAGAAGATTTAAGGGGCCTCACGTCTTGACTATGTTATGAATAGGAAGTATCAGTCAATTTTTGTTGACAGCGGTTGGTATGATAATGTCAGTGTATGGCACCCGTATATCCGCATCACCTACCTGTAATCAGCACAGCTCTTCCCTGCATCGTCAGCATGTCCACTCGTCTGCCCAGAACTACATAGCACAACCAGAGGCTGCAGGTCAGAAAGAGCAGACTGCGGTAACCTGGAAGGGCCAAAAAGCACAGAGGCCCCCCAAGAGCCAAAAGTGCAAAGGTCCAGTATTCCCTATCATGACTCCCTCTCGCCTTAGTTATAATTGCCCCAATGTATAGGGCTGTAACCATTGTATACAGAGAAGAGAAATACCAGAATTCAATGTCAACACTCTCCATTCTATCCACCGTCAGGTTGGTCTTGCTCTCCTTTCCTGTTATGACTGAGGTATCAATATCCTGTCCCCTTTGTTGGATATCCCCTTGGCTCTTTGACATGTGCATATCAAGTGTATCCTCAACTCTGAAAAACCCAAGCTTTCTGTCTGTAACCTTTTTAAGAAACATTAACCCCACCCCTTGGTCACTGCCAGCCAGCACCGCCAATCAACAGCGCTGTTACATTAGTGCATGTGGAAACAGGCATGGCTCTGAATGAAACCTGTTCTAAACCAGACATCAGGGGTGTATTTATTAGTTTCTTATTGGACAAGTTCGGGTAAGCCCCTCCCCATCTTGGCCCATTTGCTAGCTTGGTTTCTAGTGAATACACCCCAGATCTATGATAACAGAAAAAGCCTACTGTCCTGTTCTTATCATAACATCAGCAGGTGTGTCTGTGACAGTTCACTAATCACTGATAATGGAGTTATTTATACTCACCTGATGGTCTATACAAAACGTAAAATGGTTTGTTATTTCTTTCTAAATGGATCTGACGGAGCTGTTACTATTGCTGGGTCGGGGCTGCAATCTGTTTCAAGTATAAAAAATGACATTGAAAAAAACTACCCTCCCTAAATTCATGTATATTTCTTGCTCAAAACATCTTGTCAAAAACTAATGAAACCTATATATTTTAAATATCTACTGAAATAACTAACATATTTCATATGTTGTTGGTTTGCCGTTAAATATGTAGGCCTTACTTTTAAACAGATAGGACGTTGCTTCAGAAAATCGTTCTCTCATGAGTGTAACATATAAAACCTCATAATTACTCAAAATGAACAACACAATCGTGTAGTGACAAATTACATTTATTTGGTAAGTCAGTGTTGACTAGGTAAGAGTGAGGGGGCCTTGTCACCTACAGTAATATCTGCACATTCTAATATTAAGAGTTTTCCCTCCAAAAAGTGATTGATTCCCTTATTAGGTGAGCTGTTAAACACATTTAGATTATACAGTCAAGACTTACAATTTACTGAAACACTCAAATAAACAGACTGGTGATCACAATTGTAAAGTGCTCTTTTATGCGGGTCAAGGGGCTATAAGTTGGGGCCAGGACTACAATGTGGAATAGTTCAGCCAATAGTATGGCTCCAATAGGGGTCAGCCAGGGGGTAAAGGTCAAAGGTTAAAGGTCAGCCCTGAAGAAGAGAAGGAATTAGGCTGAGTTCTTCTTGAGGAAGTTGATGAGCCCGTTGGTAGAGGAATCGTGAGTGTGGACCTCGGAACTGTCCCTCAGCTCCGGCTCAATCGCCTTGGCCAGCTGTTTGCCCAGCTCAACTCTGAGGGTAGGAAGGAGAATATGATAGATTAAATACATACATAAAAATATAGGGGGAAATATACATTAAAATATAGGAAAACATTTATATTTAATATTCCATATATATTCTCACTGACGCCTACCCCCACTGGTCGTAGCTGTTGATGTTCCACATAACTCCCTGCACAAAGATCTTGTGCTCGTACATGGCTGGAAAACAGAGGAGAAAACTTAGTACTGGTAAATGTAAATAGAAAACGTAACAATTTTTAATTTTTTAATATATATTTTTTTACAATAAACATACAAAACAACAACTAAATCACACCTGCCCAGACCCACATGCTCACACCCGCATCTCCAGCGCCCGCATCACTCTCTGCCACGTGGCCTCAAACGGCACCATTTTGTTTCTCTCCACACTTTCAACATTTAGATAATAAAGCATTTGACCTTTCCATTATGTTGACAGAGGACTGGTTGATTTCCAGTTAAGTATACGCTTTTTCAAGATGATTGACGAGAAAAGTATTGTCCAACCCATTGGGTATCTCACTACAGCTTCATATGCCATGTCTTGAAATATGCAGACAGACAGACAGATTAAAAGTACATTTACATTGTAATACTTTTGTCAGCCAACTTTCTAACTCCGCCCATAACCTTTGGACTTTATAGCAGTCATTGCTAGTTTTACACTTAAGACATGACTCTGCCGTTGTGCTGTAGAATTTGTGCATTTTGTCTCTTGTATAATAAATTCTATACATTAGTTTATACTGGATTAAGCGTACATTTTCGCTAACTGTAATTTCGTTAATTACAGTGCCTTCAGAAAGTATTCACACCGTTGACTTTTTCCAAATGTTGTTGTTATAGCCTGAATTTGAAATGGATTAAATTGAGATTGTGTCACTGGTCTACACACAATATCCCATAATGTCAAAGTGTAATTATGTTTTTAGATTTTTTTTTACAAATTACAATTATCTGTACGGTCCCTCAGTCGAGCAGTGAATTTCAAACACAGATTCAACCACAAAGACCAGGGAGGTTTGCCAATGCCTCGCAAAGAAGGGCACCTATTCGTAGATGGGTAGAAAAAAAAAAAAGATGACATTGAATATCCCTTTGAGTATGGTGAAGTTATTCATTAAACTTTGGATGGTGCATCAATACACCCAGTCACTACAAAGATGGTGACTTTAAAACAGTTAGTGTAATGGCTGTGATAGGAGAAAACTGGGGAAGGATCAACAACATTGCAGTTACTCCACAATACTAACCTAAATGACAGTGAAAAGATTGAAGCCTGTACAGAATAAAAAAATATCCAAAACATGCATCCAGTTTGGAATAAGGCACTAAAGTAAAACTGCAAAAAAAAATTGCCAAATAAATGAACTTTATGTCCTGAATACAAAGCGTTATGTTTGGGAAAATCCAACACAACATCGAGTACCACTTCATATTTTCAAGCATGGTGGTGGCTGCATCATGTTATGGGTATTCTTGTCATCGGCAAGAACTAGGGAGTTTTCTTGGGGATAAAAATAAACGGAATAGAGCTAAGAACAGGCAAAATCCTAGAGGAAAACCTGGTTCAGTCTTCTTTCCAACAGACACTGGGAGACAAATTCACCTTTCAGACGGCCAATAACCTAAAACACAAGGCCAAATATACACTGGAGTTGCTTACCAAGGAGACATTGAATGTTCCTGAGCGGCCTAGTTACAGTTGACTTAACCAGTTAAATGTAACTGATCAAAAATATAAAATGCAAAATGCAACAATTTCAAAGATTTTATGGCTTATGGTAGAGAAATGAACATTAAATTCTCTGGCTACAGCTCTGGTGGACATTCCTGCAATCAGCATGCCAATTGCTCGCTCCCTGTGGCATTGTGTTGTGTAACAAAATGGCACATTTTAGTGTGGCTTTTTATTGTCCCCAGCACAAGGTGCACCTGTGTAATGATCATGCTGGTTAATCAGCTTCTTGATATTCCACAACGGTCAGGTAGATGGATTATCTTGGCAAATGAGAAATGCTCACTAACAGGGATGTAAACACATTTGTGCACAATTTGAGCTAAATAATATTTTTGTGCATATGGAAAATGTCTGGGTTATTTCATTTCAGCTCATGAAATATGGGACCAACACTTTATGTGTTGCGTTTACATTTTAGTTCAGTGTATACAGTGCATTCGGAAAGTATTCAGATCGCTTGACTTTTTCCACATTTTGTTACGTTACAGCCTTATTGTAAAATGGATTCAATTGTTTTTTCCCCCTCAATCTTTTAACAAATGTATAAAAAAAAAAAAAACTGATATCACATTTACATAAGTATTCAGACCCTTTACTCAGTACTTTGTTGAAGCACCTATGGCAGCGATTACAGCCTCGAGTCTTCTTGGGTAGGACGCTACAAGCTTGGCACACCTGTATTTGGGGAGTTTCTCCCATTCTTCTCTGCAGATCCTCTGAAGCGCTGTCAGGTTGGATGGGGAGCGTCGCTACACAGCTATTTTCAAGTCTCTCCAGAGATGTTCGATCGGGTTCAAGTCCGGGCTCTGGCTGGGCCACTCAAGGACATTGAGACTTGTCCTGAAGCCACTCCCGCGATGTCTTGGCTGTGTGCTTATGGTCGTTGTCCTGTTGGAAGGTGAACCTTCGCCCCAGTCTGAGGTCCTGAGCAGGTTTTCATCAAGGATGTCTATGTACTTTGTGTTGTTCATTTTTCCCTTGATCCTGACTAGTCTCCCAGTCCCTGCCGCTGAAAAACATCCCCACAGCATGATGCTAACACCACCATGCGTCACCGTAGGGATGGTGCCAGGTTTCCTACAGATGTGACGCTTGGCATTCAGGCCAAAGAGTTCAATCTTGGTTTCATCAGACCAGAGAATCTTGTTTCTCATGGTCTGAGAGTCTTTAGGTACCTTTTGGCAAACTCCAAGCAGGCTGTCATGTGCCTTTTACTGAGGAGTGGTTATCGTCTGGCCACTCTACCATAAAGGCCTGATAGGTGGAGTGCTGCAGAGATGGTTGTCCTTCTGGAAGGTTCTCCCATCTCCGCAGAGGAACTCTGGAGCTCTGTCAGAGGTACCATCGGGTTCTTGGTCACCTCCCTGACCAAGGCCCTTCTCCCCCGATTGCGCAGTTTGGCTGGGCGGCCAGCTCTAGGAAGAGTCTTGGTGGTTCCAAACTTCTTCAATTTCAGAATGATGGAGGCCACTGTGTTCTTGGGGACCTTCAATGCTGCAGAAATGTTTTGGTACCCTTTCCCAGATCTCTGCCTCGACACAATCCTGTCTCGGAGCTCTACGGACAATCATGGCTTGGTTTTTGCTCTGACATGCACTGTCAACTGTGGGGCCTTATATAGACAGGTGTGTGCCTTTCCAAATCATGTCCAATCAATTTAATTTACCACAGGTGGACTCCAATCAAGTTGTAGAAACATCTCAAGGATGATCAATGGAAACAGGTTGCAACTGAGCTCAATTTCGAGTCTCATAGCAAAGGATCTGAATACATATGTAAATAGGGTATGTTTTTTTACTTTTAATAAATTTGCAAAAATGTCATAACTGTTTTTGCTTTGTCATTATGGGGTAGTGTGTATATTGATGAGGATTCGTTTTTATTTAATCAATTTTAGAATAAGGCTGTAACGTAACAAAATGTGGAAAAAGTCAAGGGGTCTGAATACTTTCCGAATGCATTGTATAGTTTTTCAAATAAGCTTTAAAAATAGTCATTAATTGCATTGTTTCTAATTAACGCTTCTGTATCTATCTTTTAAGATTATAACTGGTTTGGCGTGTATTTGTTTTGTGAGGGCTGCGAGATGTTTACCAGGTTTATTTGCCATTAAGTAGTATGCTTTGAGTTTAACCTGTAGTTGTTGGCTATCTTCGAAAGTAAAAGATCATATTCCTGCTTAAGTTTAGAAATGTTATTTTGATGAATTTTAATTAAATTAAAATAGATCACTAACTAAGATTAAACTTTTGCAGAGTATGAGATGATCATTCCCCTAATGTATGCCTTAAACGCATCCAAAATTATAATCGGGGGTCGGCTTTTCTCTATCCTCTATGTCAACATTTGTAATGTATTTTTTAAAAACATTTACATATTTAATACATTTCAGGTCTTGAAGATGCGCACTGTTCATTCCTCATATTCTGTCGCTTTGTGTATTTTCTATTGGTGTAAATATGCATGACACCGAAGAAGGATCCGATATCAGTATGTAATGGATTGTTGAGTGCATTTCTGAAGAAAAAAAAAAGTCACTTCTTGAGTAGCTTTTCTTACTTTGAAAGAAAAAAAAAATAGTAGTCTCCATGTGTCCTGTAGATTATTTGTAGAGATGAAAATGTTCAGCCTCTGGAGGCTCCTTGAATTTGCCTTTATGACGTCTGTCAATCTTATCGAATGTATGATTTAGGTTGCCTGCAAAATTAATAGTTATTGTCCAGATTTGATCTAATATATAGATCTAATATAGCTTGAATATATATATATATATATATATATATATATATATATATATATATATATATATATGCATTCATACATACAGTGAGGGAAAAAACTATTTGATCCCCTGATGATTTTGTACGTTTGCCCACTGACAAAGACATGATCAGTCTATAATTTTAATGGTAGGTTTATTTGAACAGTGAGAGACAGAATAACAACAAATCCAGAAAAACGCATGTCAAAAATGTTATAAATTGATTTGCATTTTAATGAGGGAAGTAAGTATTTGACCCCTCTGCAAAACATGACTTAGTACTTGGTGGCAAAACCCTTGTTGGCAATCACAGAGGTCAGACGTTTCTTGTAGTTGGCCACCAGGTTTGCACACATCTCAGGAGGGATTTTGTCCAACTCCTCTTTGCAGATCTTCTCCAAGTCATTAAGATTTCGAGCCTGACGTTTGGCAACTCGAACCTTCAGCTCCCTCCACAGATTTTCTATGGGATTAAGGTCTGGAGACTGGCTAGGCCACTCCAGGACCTTAATGTGCTTCTTCTTGAGCCACTCCTTTGTTGCCTTGGCCGTGTGTTTTGGGTCATTGTCATGCTGGAATACCCACCCACGACCCATTTTCAATGCCCTGGCTGAGGGAAGGAGGTTCTCACCCAAGATTTGACGGTACATGGCCCCGTCCATCGTCCCTTTGATGCGGTGAAGTTGTCCTGTCCCCTTAGCAGAAAAACACCCCCAAAGCATAATGTTTCCACCTCCATGTTTGACGGTGGGGATGGTGTTCTTGGGGTCATAGGCAGCATTCATCCTACTCCAAACACGGCGAGTTGAGTTGATGCCAAAGAGCTCGATTTTGGTCTCATCTGACCACAACACTTTCACCCAGTTCTCCTCTGAATCATTCAGATGTTAATTGGCAAACTTCAGACGGGCCTGTATATGTGGTTTCTTGAGCAGGGGGACCTTGCGGGCGCTGCAGGATTTCAGTCCTTCACGGCGTAGTGTGTTACCAATTGTTTTCTTGGTGACTATGGTCCCAGCTGCCTTGAGATCATTGACAAGAACCTCCCGTGTAGTTCTGGGACGATTCCTCACCATTCTCATGATCCTTGCAACTCCACGAGGTGAAATCTTGCATGGAGCCACAGGCCGAGGGAGATTGACAGTTATTTTGTGTTTCTTCCATTTGCGAATAATCGCACCAACTGTTGTCACCTTCTCACCAAGCTGCTTGGCGATGGTCTTGTAGCCCATTCCAGCCTTGTGTAGGTCTACAATCTTGTCCCTGACATCCTTGGAGAGCTCTTTGGTCTTGGCCATGGTGGAGAGTTTGGAATCTGATTGATTGATTGCTTCTGTGGACAGGTGTCTTTTATACAGGTAACAAGCTGAGATTAGGAGCACTCCCTTTAAGAGTGTGCTCCTAATCTCAGCTCGTTACCTGTATACAAGACACCTGGGAGCCAGAAATATTTCTGATTGAGAGTGGGTCAAATACTTATTTCCCTCATTAAAATGCAAATCAATTTATAACATTTTTGACATGCGTCTTTCTGGATTTTTTTGTTGTTATTCTGTCTCTCACTGTTCAAATAAACCTACCATTAAAATTATAGACTGATCATTTTTTTGTCAGTGGGCAAACATACAAAATCAGCAGGGGATCAAATACTTTTTCCCCTCACTGTATATATATATAAAATATTTGCCCCTGGTGGGATATGCAATGAAATCAATGTGTATTTTTCATCATGTAAGGCATAATTCAACATTAGAAAGCAGCATTCTTGGTCCATATTCTTATTTATCAGGATGCCTACACCTCTGCTTGCACACCTGGATTGTACTTGAAAATCTATGGCAAGACTTGAAAATGGCAGTCTAGCAATGATCAACAACCAACTTGACAGAGCTTGAAGACTTTAAAAAAGAATAATTGCACAAAACAGGTGTGCAAAGCTCTTATGAGACTTACCCAAAAAGACTCACAGCTGTAATCACTGCCAAAGGTGTTTCTAACTCAGGGGGGTGAATACTTAACTAATCAAAGTATATTAGTGTTTTATTTTTCATTAATCTAAAAAGAATGTTAGAATTGTTCTTCCACTTTGACATTAGAGTTTTGTGTAGATCGTTGACAAAAAATGACAAATCAATTTTAATCCCACTTTGTAACACAATAACATTTGAAGAAATCCAAGTTACGATAAACTGGTCTTGGGCATCACTGTATGAAGCCTAGTGTACTTATCACTTTTTCCAGCTTCGTCCTCTCCTCAGGGCATTGGGCTCTCTTTCAACTGCAGCCTGTTAAGATGGAATTTACATTGGCACTTGTGAATTCCATCTTTTGTGTTCCTTTCCATACCCACAGCACTGCCGGGAAGCAATCCAATTACGATCTTGTCTCATCGCTGCAACTCCCCAATGGGCTCGGGAGAGGCGAAGGTCAAGTCATGCGTCCTCCACACATGACCCTCCAAAACGCGCTTCTTAACACCCGCCCGCTTAACCCGGAAGCCAGCCGCACCAATGTGTCGGAGGAAACACCGGTCAACTGTCGACCGAAGTCAGCCTGCAGGCGCCCGGCCCGCCACAAGGAGCCGCTAGAGAGCGATGAGCCAAGTAATGCCCCACCGGCCAAACCCTCACGACACTGGGCCAATTGTGCGCCGCCCTATGGGACTCCCGGTCACGGCCGGTTGTGACACAGCCTGGGATTGAACCCAGGTCTGTAGTGACGCCTCAAGCACTGCGATGCAGTGCCTTAGACCGCTGCGCCACTCGGGAAGCCCTGCAGAGTTGAGACTTGATTCCTTTTTCCTCCACTGACTGTCTGATCGGAATGTATTGCTTGCGTTTTTTCTCAGCTTAGCAGACAGGTCCTGGACGAATCGACTGGACTGGCCATGGATTCTAATCTTTTTTCCCCCGTGCCTACAGAATTTTGACTTTGGTCTACTAGTTCTACAGCTTGAAGACTTCCATGCATGGGTATTTAGCGTTCTTCTGTTTCACACTGAGACAGATCCTCCTGTGATATATCCACATCAAGCTCCTCTGATATCGGTTTGACCACATAGCTGGAAAGGTCTCCTTGTTCCTCGTCTTCCAGTAAGGACAATATTCTCATGTTGTTTAGTCTCATTCTGTTTTCTTGCTGTTTGCAACCTTGTTTCCAGAAGGCTAATTTTGTTGTCTTTTTCGTTCATGCGCACACCTTGTATGTGCATGTCTAACACGATAGAATCAACTTTATTTTCGAGCAAATCTACTTTTCTTAACAACTAATTGTAACCGTTTGTTTGTTTTGGTGAGCATTGAGAATATTTTAGCTATGTTTTCCTGGATATCCTTTAGCTGTTCATTACTCTCGTTTGCATATCCAAGTTGTTCCTTGTCTTTTCCTCTGAGGGAAGCCATGGCTGGTTTGATTTGTGTTGCCAAGTCGCTTTACCAACTGATTTGTTCGCTGTTGTACATAACTGACTGTTCGTTCACTCTCTCCTAGTTGCTTGGGGATATGTTGATCTATCGATTTTAGAGACTTCATTTAAAAACTGTTGTCTGGCTTCTACATATAACCACAGTTTTGGCAGTACAAAATGGAGCTACTCACTCCCCATGTGTCCTATCGGTACGCTCATGCTCCTCTTCCTTAACGATACTATAAATCAATATTATAAAATACTACGGTTTTATTCTGGGTAGGGATTGACTGTTGACATGGCAATAGCTACTACAGTACTTACCAACCAGTGCTCCCAGCATGAAGGGTGACAGCTTCTTGAAAACAATGGAGTTGCTGGGCTTATTCCCCTGGAAGACCTTTCATTGAGGGAAAAATACAGCGTTTAACAATAACTGACCAAACATACTGTACATCAAAGCATCATCCAGAAACAACACTGACAATCAATGATGCATATATTTTCATCAATAGATTAGACTGGCCCAGTGTCTGTCTGATAAGTGTGGCAGTTTCTGCGTCTCAAATGGCACCCTATTCCCTTTATAGTGCACTACTTTTGATAAGAGCCTCATGGCCCATAGGGCTCTGGTCAAAAGTAGTGCACTATAAAGGGAATAGTGTGGCCTGGTCAAAAGTAGTGCATCTGTAGTCTGATGAGTAAATCCACTCACTTTGTGTGGCAGCAGTTGCTCCAGCTCTGCTCCTCCCAGGCCAGTGGCCTCCAGCTCCTTCCTGGCCTCGTCTGAAGTCTTCCCCTTCATCAGGGCCTCTGTCTGGGCCAGGAAGTTGGCCATCAGGATCTATGGAGATCCAGAGGTATAGTCAAATACATAAATATTAATAAACTGTTTTAATCAAACTCTGTATGTACATTTGGCATAATTCTGGGTTTGACTGAGAAAGAATACTAGTTCGAAAAAATGAAATTAATTAAAGTCTGAATAAATTAAGTCGAGTCGACAGTTTCAATGGTTGAACGATAGAATAGGTTATGTGGCAGAGTGATCGTGTAAGCGTAGAGGATGTTGGATTAGCCATTAGGGTACTAATACATTTAGAGAGCCATGATGGTGCACTACCTTGTGGTGGAGGCTGTCCCTGATGGGGTGCTGTGTCTGGGCAGGAATGAGGAAGTCAGCAGGAATCATACGTGTGCCTGGAAGGGTCAAAACACAGAAGGTTGGAGAGGTCACGTTTTATTTCAATCTTATTTCAGCAGGTATTAGAGAATGATATAATAGTAATTGGTTCATATACTGTAACAGTCCATATTGTGAACAAGGGTCTGGAGGACAGGACAGGTGTGTGGTAGTTACCTTGGTGGATGAGCTGGTAGAAGGCGTGCTGTCCGTTGGTTCCGGGCTCGCCCCAGACGATGGGTCCGGTGTGGTAGTTGACACGAGCGCCATCTTTAGTGATGTACTTCCCGTTGGACTCCATGTCGCCCTGTGGATGAAAGACAGTTACAGTTATGTTGGTTAGACTGAAATATTTGCTTCATAAATAAAAAAGGTGAAACATTGAAAGGAAGTGTTGTAAGGTAATCTATGATTTTGAATCACTTCTTATATTCTAGCGCACCTGCACGTCACCCTTATTAGAAATCATGTATTTTCCTTCCCTTTGTAGATCTGACAGACTGGATAGGTGTAAGCAAAAGCTTCAGCAAATTTCCACCATATTACTATCACCTACTATCGTCTACGCAACATGATCCTGTCCCTGGTTTCTCTTTGTCTAGCCCAAACAGATGCCCTGTCCCAGTCCCTACAGTCCTAGCATATGGTCATTCCTGGCTCCTGCCTGCCTGTATTACTCAGAACTAGGTTCAAATACTATTTTAAATATTTTCAAATACTTCAGCTGTGGTTGTTCGGGCTTGCCTGTTGAATGGAACCAATAGAAAATTCCCAAAGTGCAAACCCCACCCACGTGGCACTCCAAGCATGCTAAAGCAAACGCTCAAAATATTTTAAAGATTTAAAATAGTATTTGAACCCATGTATGGCCGCCTGCCTGACTGACCTGCTGGAAGTATGCAGCGAAGCGGTGCATGTATTGGTCGTAGGGCAGCATGGCGTGGGTCTCGGCCTGGAAGAAGTTGATGTACCAGACACCCAGCACGGCAAGCAGAACGGGGACATTCTGCTCCAGGGGGGTGCTGTTGAAATGGTTGTCCTGGGAAAGACAACCCAGTCATTTTAAAACAACATATTACATTACATTTTAGTCATTTAGCAGACGCTCTTATCCAGAGCGACTTTACAGTTAGTGAGTGCATACATGTTTGTTTTTTTCAATTCTATATTGATCTAGTTTGGGATTATTTTCAGTTGTGTTGAATTGACACTAAATGAAGGAGAAATGTGCCTACCATCCAGTGAGCACCGGCCAGAAGCTGCTCAAAGTTCTCAAACCCTGCATGGTGACAGGATATGTAGAAAAAAGGTGTTAGGAGGATCAACCCTTAACCTCGAATTACTAGTAGTAGTTACGCTGCTTTCCATTTGAATTCACAAACCAACTTTTAGCATTTGACAAAAAGCGCAAATCTGCAATATACAGACGATATGCTCCTTCTGTATACACTACATCCGTAGAGCTCTAATGTAGACAAACAGACAGACATACCTATGTGCAGCGCAATGGACAGCCCAATAGCCGACCAAAGGGAGTAACGCCCTCCAACCCACTGAGAGAAAGCCAAAATGACATCACAGTCACAAAATCAACCACTACAGAGTGGCAAGGTTTCTTTGTCTCTCTCAAAACCTTGAAAAGTTATACAAAAACAGACAATGGCCATCACCTCGACAGTGTACTAGTCAAACTATACTGCAATTATACACAGAATCGATCCACCATTTATTTAAAAACACACTTTAATTCTTCAACATCGCTCATTTCCAATAGACGTGGTAAAGAGGTAAATGGAAGACCGTTGGGGATAGAAGAACGCCGGATTGGCGCACATTCAACAAATCTGATCTAGTTCAAATGTCCTCTTTACCGCATGCATCTATGGTTTAGAATAAAGCGTGTCGATACAATATCCACAAATTCATACGCTTAACAGTTGCATTCCAAATTCTTTAGAAATAAATACCACACCTAGAATGCGGTCAAAATATCTCCCAGCAAAAAATTAATAAATGCAGAAATGCTTTTTATACAAACACTTGTCAATTACAAGTGGCAAAATAAAGCCTCACTTTAGTTCAGATTCATTCAATTATTTCATAGGGGTCCATAGGCTAACTCAGTGTGAATAGAAGTGTATACTTACATCCCAGAATTCAAACATGTTGTTTGTGTCAATACCAAACGCCTGCACTTTGGGCTGGAAGAGAAGGGAGACGCCAAAAAGAGTAACAGTCAAAGTTACTTGTGCAATATACCGTTCAGCAGGCAGGTAACAATGTAAGATGGAAAGTGTCATTCAAAATGGTCACTTACTGCATTGGTGGACAGCGCCACAAAGTGCTTGGCAACAGCAGATTGCTGTGAAGAAGACAATAGAGTTAGTCGATCCAAATGTGATATGACACTCCAGCTGTGCTTTGGACTGTCCTAAACTGACCTCAGTGTTGCCAACTCCTCAGTAAGGAAAGTAGCTATTGGCTGTCCTAAAAGTCGCTAGAAGTCGCCACATTTGCATAATTGGCCATGTACATGTAATTGTGATGGACGCTGTAGGAGAGAGGAATAAGGTCTTGGGAGAGACAAAAAGTGAGTAAAAAACACCCTAAATATGAGGGACTGCTGTGCGAGGACTGGGCCGCCTGTGAGTGCTTTGGGACAGGGGATGGGCCCAATAACACCACAAAAAGTTGCTAGATTTGTCGCTAGTCGCTTTTTTGAAAATATGTCGCTAGAGGGGTCTGAATACTCACTAAATACAGCGACAAAGTCGATAATTTGGCAACACTGACTGACCTGTGTGGCTAAAATGATGTATTGTCTGCAGAGAAACTACTAAAATTATTGGCTGAATGTAGGCTGAACATATAACGCCATTGGTTACAGACAGACAAAGGTGTCAGGAGTCTACTCACGTCATTGGCTGTCTGGAGGAACCAGTCCCTGGCAGACTCAGCGTTGGTAATGGTCTCCTGGGTGGTGAATGTCTGAAAAGGACAACAGTGTGACATGAGTCCCAGAGGAAGTAGTACACAGCTTTCACAGTGTGTGACATTGAAGGAGCAACATTAGCCTGCCATCTTTTCCAGCTTCAAACCATAAATGATGATTCAAACATTATCACACTTTACCAGAACACAACCATGTATACACAGATTATTAACCACCATAGCACTGAATGAGACATTGATTCATAGCATTGAATTATTTAAGCATCTAGATCCATATGGCTTTAGGATGGGTGTAACCATGGCAACAGGAGGAGGTGTGTGTGTAGAGTCAGTCTGTCACCTTGGAAGCGATGATGAAGAGGGTGGTCTCAGCGTTGAGCTGGGCCAGGGTCTTGGTCATGTGTGTGCCGTCAATGTTGGACACGAACCACACGTTGGGGCCTCCCTTAGAGTAGGGCTTCAGGGCCTCAGTCACCATGAGAGGACCCTGAGGAGGATGCACAACATTACGGTGTTACCATTTCAACTTCCCTCTATCCTATGTGCACTTAGCATTAAAATGTTATTGGTGTTTTCTGTATCCATTAGGACTTCAGAGCCTGTCAACTTGAGAGCTCTTAAGAGAGGATACACAATATTATGAGACATAACAGCATGACAAAATACTTTGAATCAAATCACAGTAACTCCAGACTCTACCAAGTTCTGAACTCCTGGATAAGAATAGCACAGTTCACTATCTGTGAGTACCAAGGCAACAGCTCAAGCATACTCTTTGTTCTGTTGCCTACTGTGCCGCCTACAGCATAGCTTTGTATCAACACCCCAGCAGTGTATTCTCTGCTTATACCACAGCTTAGCGCCACAGTAATAACACATTTATAGCTCACTACTGTAATACCAAAGCAAACCTGGGCAGAAAATAGCTGTACTTTGTAGTTTATTTGAAAATACCAACTTTTCAAATACTCAAGGTAGTCGAATATAGTTTATATAGAGTTAAAAGGCAACTATTTTCTTTGATTTTCAAATATAGGTCTCAGAAAACCAAATCATATTTGAAGGTATTTTAATATATGCCAGCTATTTTGATGTCTGCCAAATATTTGATGAAGTACCAAAAACTATAACAGTTACTTGAATTAGTCTAAATATATGATAAGCACATGGTTTGGAGGGCTCGTAGATGTTAATCTTAATATAGCCTAGAATTAAATACATGAGGGACATGGAATCACCTCAACATTAGAGTAGACCACTTTTGCATCTTCAATATGACTAACAAATATATGTTAATAATGAGTGAGACATAAGGTAATACAGTAACACTTGACATCAAGTTCTTATACATGTGTAGTAACTCTGAGTATTACAATAGCAACATTGTTGTTATAGGACTTTGGAAATTGCTTTATAATTGCATAATAATGGAATTATTACGAATGGAATAAGGAAGTCACCAACTCAGCTAATTGCTATGCAATTACCAAAGTATTATGCATCTACTAAATACAACAGCAGTTACCAGTAAAAAAATAAAATATGCAAAAAATATATAAAAAGCATTGAAAGGGGATAGAAGGAATGTTGCTCCAAAAGTCATTACAGCTTTATTACAGAGGCACAAGAACAGTTTAATGTTAAGTGTTACTGAGAACGCTAACAGTAACAAAATATGGCTATTAAGTGTCAAAAGGAAACAAAATATCCCAAAACAGCCTTGTTGTATCAACTACAGCCAAGGTAGGTGGAAAATCATGCTAGTTTATATTCTGGGGTAAACTATCCCTTGAAATATGGTATAGTGTGTGTTTGAAACAAGAACACTTACCCTCAGATGGACAAAGAGGTTCAAATTTGTTTTTGCTAAGCATCCAACTTTGAATTACTCTGCAGTATTTTCAGGAATCATACAATTAAATTGTGGCTTTCAACCTTTTCAGTGGCATGTTTAAAGAGTCATACAGTAGTTGAGCGTCACACAACTTATTAATACTTACAGTGCCTATAGAAAGTCCACACCCCCCCCCTTCTTCACATTTTATTGTGTTACAAAGTGGGATTAAAATCGATTTGTCATTTTTTGTCAACGATCTACACAAAACTCTAATGTCAAAGTGGAAGAACAATTATAACATTATTTTTAGATTAATGAAAAATAAAACACTAATATACTTTGATTAGATAAGTATTCACCCCCCTTAGTCAATACATGTTAGGAACACCTTTGGCAGTGATTACAGCTGTGAGTCTTTTTGGGTATGTCTGTTTGCACACCTGTTTTGTGCAATATTTTCCCATTATTTATTTTTTTATTCTTCATGCTCTGTCAAGTTGGTTGTTGATCATTGCTAGACTGCCATTTTCAAGGCTTGCCATAGATTTCCAAGTACAATCCAGGTGTGCAAAGCTCCTAGAGACTTACCCAGAAAGACACACAGCTGTAATCGCTGCCAAAAGGTGTTTCTAACTTGTATTGACTCAGGGGTGTGAATAAACTTAAAAACATTTCTAAAATCAGGTTTTCACTTTGTCATTATGGGGTATTGTGTGTAGATGGGTGAGAAAGAATCTGTGCGGTTTAGTACATCATCCACAGCATAATTATTAACTTGACCATGGTTAAATATATATTCAATGTCTGATTTGTTATTGTTACCCATCTACAAATCACTGCCCTTCTTTATGAGGATTTCAAAATGCTCCCTGGTCTTTGTAGCTGAATCTGTGCTTGAAATTCAATATTTGACTGAGGGACCTTACAGACGTTGTATGTATGGGAGACAGAGGAAGTCATTAAAAAAATCATGTCAACCCCTATTATTTCACACAGAGTGAGTCCATATAACTTGTGATTTGTTAAGCCAGATTTTACTTCTGAACTCATTTAGGCTTGCCTAAACAAAGGGAGGTGAATACTTATGCAACGACTATACTTTAAAAAAATTACTAGTAACAAATATGACATTACGGAGTATTTTGTGTAGATCAATGACAAGAAATTAAAATTAAATCCATTTCAATGCCACTTTGTAAAGCAACAAAATGTGAAAAAAGTGTGTGTAGGCTGTCTATAGGCTCTATATCTGTACATAATATCATTGATTAATTGGTTAGACTTGATTATGTACAGTGGCTTGCGAAAGTATTCACCCCCCTTGGCATTTTTCCTATTTTGTTGCCTTACAACCTGGAATTAAAAATTGATTTGTCGGGGTTTGTGTCATTTGATTTACACAACATGCCTACCACTTTGAAGATGCAAAATATATTTTCTTGTGAAACAAACAAGAAATAAGACAAAAAAACTGAAAACTTGAGCGTGCATAACTATTCACCCCCCCGAAAGTCAATGCTTTGTACAGCCACCTTTTGCAGCAGTTACAGCTGCAAGTCTCTTGGGGTGTGTCTCTATAAGCTTGGCACATCTAGCCACTGGGATTTTTGCCCATTCTTCAAGGCAAAACTGCTCCAGCTCCTTCAAGTTGGATGGGTTCCGCTGGTGTACAGCAATCTTTAAGTCGTACCACAGATTCTCAATTGGATTGAGGTCTGGGCTTTGACTAGGCCATTCCAAGACATTTAAATGTTTCCCCTTAAACCACTTGAGTGTTGCTTTAGCAGTATGCTTAGGGTCATTGTCCTGCTGGAAGGTGAACCTCCATCCCAGTCTCAAATCTCTGGAATACTGAAACAGGTTTCCCTCAAGAATTTCCCTGTATTTAGCGGCATCCATCATTCCTTCAATTCTGACCAGTTTCCCAGTCCCTGCCGATGAAAAACATGGTGTTCTCGGGGTGATGAGAGGTGTTGGGTTTGTGCCAGACATAGCGTTTTCCTTGATGGCCAAAAAGCTCAATTTTAGTCATCTGACCAGAGTACCTTCTTCCATATGTTTGGGGAGTCTCCCACATGCCTTTTGGCGAACACCAAACGTGTTTGCTTATTATTTTTTTCTTTAAGCAATGGCTTTTTTCTGGACACTCTTCCGTAAAGCCCAGCTCTGTGGAGTGTACGGCTTAAAGTGGTCCTATGGACAGATTCTCAAATCTCCGCTGTGGAGCTTTGCAGCTCCTTCAGGGCTATCTTTGGTCTCTTTGTTGCCTCTCTGATTAATGCCCTCCTTGCCTGGTCCATGAGTTTTGGTGGGCGGCCCTCTCTTGGCAGGTTTGTTGTGGTGCCATATTCTTTCAATTTTTTAATAATGGATTTAATGGTGCTCCGTGGGATGTTAAAAGTGTCTGATATTTTTTTGAACCCAACCCTGATCTGTACTTCTCCACAACTTTGTCCCTGACCTGTTTGGAGAGCTCCTTGGTCTTCATGGTGCCGCTTGCTTGGGGGTGCCCCTTGCTTAGTGGTGTTGCAGACTCTGGGGCCTTTCAGAACAGGTGCATATATACTGAGATCATGTGACAGATCATGTGACACTTAGATTGCACACAGGTGGACTTTATTTAACTAATTATGTGACTTCTGAAGGTAAATGGTTGCACCAGATCTTATTTAGGGGCTTCATAGCAAAGGGGTTGAATACATATGCACGCACCACTTTTCCGTTATTTATTTTTTAGAAAGAAATAATGGAAAAGTGGTTATTCTTTTCATTTCATTTCACCAATTTGGACTATTTTGTGTATGTCCATTACATGAAATCCAAATAAAAATCCATTTAAATTACAGGTTGTAATGCAACAAAATAGGAAAAACGCCAAGGGGGATGAATACTTTTGCAAGGCACTGTACCCCTGGGGCAATGGATATTCAGGAGAATGGACATCACAAAATGTTCAGATAGTCATATTGGATCTACACAATACATTTCTATCATATTGGAATAGTATAGGATAATGTGTGTGCTCTATTCATTCTATTTACAGTATATCTTCAACATGCAGTTCCAGATATAGCCCTGCCATTAGTTGAAGGCAGCCAATCCAACAGTTTCAGAAAAGTAGTCACTTCCTATGACCTGTATTCAAATATGTATATTTTTAAAAGTAGTTGCTTTCTCAGATCTGTGTTCAAATAGTAATTAACAAAAAAATCTGTATTCAAATAGTTGTAGTCGTCTCCAAAGTAACTATTTGTTCCCTCCAAAAAATAGTTTGTTTCCACAAAGCATAGTTCAAACTATAGTTATAACCCAGGTCTGTACCAAAGCCATATACAGTGGGGAGAACAAGTATTTGATACACTGCCGATTTTGCAGGTTTTCCTACTTACAAAGCATGTAGAGGTCTGTAATTTTTATCATAGGTACACTTCAACTGTGAGAGACGGAATTTAAAACAAAAATCCAGAAAATCACATTGTATGATTTTTAAGTAATTAATTTGCATTTTATTGCATGACATAAGTATTTGATCACCTACCAACCAGTAAGAATTCCGGCTCTCACAGACCTGTTAGTTTTTCTATAAGAAGCCCTCCTGTTCTCCACTCATTACCTGTATTAACTGCACCTGTTTGAACTCGTTACATGTATAAAAGACACCTGTCCACACACTCAATCAAACAGACTCCAACCTCTCCACAATGGCCAAGACCAGAGAGCTGTGTAAGGACATCAGGGATAAAATTGTAGACCTGCACAAGGCTGGGATGGGCTACAGGACAATAGGCAAGCAGCTTGGTGAGAAGGCAACAACTGTTGGCGCAATTATTAGAAAATGGAAGAAGTTCAAGATGACGGTCAATCACCCTCAGTCTGGGGCTCCATGCAAGATCTCACCTTGTGGGGCATCAATGATCATGAGGAAGGTGAGGGATCAGCCCAGAACTACACGGCAGGACCTGGTCAATGACCTGAAGAGAGCTGGGACCACAGTCTCAAAGAAAACCATTAGTAACACACTACGTCATCATGGATTAAAATCCTGCAGCGCACGCAAGGTCCCCCTGCTCAAGCCAGCGCATGTCCAGGCCCGTCTGAAGTTTGCCAATGACCATCTGGATGATCCAGAGGAGGAATGGGAGATGGTCATGTGGTCTGATGAGACAAAAATAGAGCTTTTTGGTCTAAACTCCACTCGCAGTGTTTGGAGGAAGAAGAAGGATGAGTACAACCCCAAGAACACCATCCCAACTCTGAAGAATGGAGGTGGAAATATAATTCTTTGGGGATGCTTTTCTGCAAAGGGGACAGGACGACTGCACCGTATTGAGGGGAGGATGGATGGGGCCATGTATCGCGAGATCTTGGCCAACAACCTCCTTCCCTCAGTAAGAGCATTGAAGATGGGTCGTGACTGGGTCTTCCAGCATGACAACTTAAAAATCATACAATGTGATTTTCTGGATTTTTGTTTTAGATTCCGTCTCTCACAGTTGAAGTGTACCTATGATAAAAATTACAGACCTCTACATGCTTTGTAAGTAGGAAAACCTGCAAAATCGGCAGTGTATCAAATACTTGTTCTCCCCACTGTATGGCTCTGTGAGACTATTGAATAGCTCAGAGGAATACAACAGCAAATATCTGAGTCACATAATGAACCATTACAGTTTATAATACTCAGCATGACATTTTTTTTTCTGAGCATGACTCAGTCAAGCATCCAATACAGCTCACACTAATACAATAGGACATGGCTACCTCGTATTTTTTATTTATTTATTTAAATACAAAGTCTCGGTCGCAGGTTCAAATCCCTGAGCCGACTAGGTGGAAAGAACATCTGCCGTTTTCCCTTGAGCAAGGCACTTAACCCGAATTGCTCCTCTAAGTCGCTCTGAATAAGAGTGTCTGCTAAATGACTAAACATTAAAAACAAAACAAAAATTAAGTCCTTACTGAAGAAGACTAATCTCTTCAGTAGGTCCTATGAAGGTTAATGGCAAGACACTGGAGTAACAAACCACCCTTGCTGTCTCTGCCTGGCCGGCTCCCCACTCGTCACTGGGATTCTGTGCCTCAGACCCTATTGCGGGGGGCTGAATCACTGGCTTGCTCACTCTCTCCCATGCCGTCCCTAGGGCACATTTACTCCTAAGGTGTTGAACTGTTGACCCTGCTGGTCATCTATGAACACTTGAAGAACAATCTGGTCTAAATGGCCATGTACTCTTATAATCTCCACATGGCACAGCCAGAAGAGGACTGGCCACCCCTCAGAGCCTGGTTCCTCTCTAGGTTTCTTCCTAGGTTCCTGCCTTTCTAGGGAGTTTTTCCTAGCCACCGTGCTTCTACATCTGCATTGCTTGCTCTTTTGGGTTTTAGGCTGAGTATCTGTATAGCACTTTGTGACAACTGCTGATGTAAAAAGGGCTTTAGAAAATACATTTGATTGAAAAGAAGAAAATAGTTGTTTGGCCAGTCAGTCACACACTCACCAGGTCAGACCCACCGATCCCAATGTTTACAACATCAGTGATGGCCTTTCCACTGAAGCCCTTCCACTCGCCACTACGCACTTTCTGCAACACAAACAATTTTTGGGGAGGCACATGTCAGCTGTGTGCGTACATCTAAATTTTAACATAATGAGAATTAATCTAGCACCTTTTCAAATACTCTTTATTCCGATCTCCCCCCCATTACCTGACGCCATCAACTACAACACAGTTTATTAACTATATTAATTAATTTACTCACAAATCTTACATGTTTGTGTAGTGACTGTGTTGTGTTTTAATCCATTCAGATTTAGTTTAAGACCATCCATTAAAAATAATATACGGGCAATTTCCCGGACACAATTGTCTGGGAAACGCCCCCATAGATGCATAGAGATGGAACAAATTGCTTTATCTCCATGTAAAGATGCCCTTGCACAGATGCTGGGGTTACAGTTGAAACTGGTCTCCACTCACATGACAGAAGGCCTTCATCTTGTCCAGGACCCTGTTGACCTCGGGCATGACGTCCTGGCCATCTACGTTGATGGGAGTGTTGGAGCGGTTACGCAGGGCAATGTGGAGGACGGCACGGCCCTACACACGCGCGAAGACACGTAAAAACACACACACAGTTAGGGGTAGAAACTTTAACATTATAATATACTTATTAATCATGACTAAGATGTTTATTACTTAAAGGGATAGTGCTAACTTTTTGCCCATGCCTCTAAGAAATATATAATATAATAATCTCAATACCATACAAATAGTGATATCAAAATCTGAATACCTTTCTTTGCATGTGTAAACATATCGAATAATACCTATGTGTATATAACGTGCAGTCTCATTGAGGAAGTGGTTGCACAATGTTGTCATTGCGTCATGAATGGTGTTTGGAGAGGGGGTGGAGAACCACGATTTCCCTGAATGACTTTGCAATAGTGACCACAAAGTGTGCAACAACTGCCCACTCTTTAGAGAAGAGTTAATGTGAGAGTGTACTACTTTGTCAAATTTGAGAGTAGCCTCCTCTCATCTCGGTGGTAGCATAGCATTATTACAATAGAAATAGAATGATTATATTTCTATGGTTATTACAGTATAATCAGCATTTTCCTCTTCACTTAATTTTCTACATCTGCCAGTGTTAAAACATTAAAATGTTCAAACACAATAGAGAGAGCAAGAACTCAGGTAGTCCTGGTACCTCAGTGAAGTTGATCTTCTCTCCAGAGAACATCTTGTCTCTGGCTTCCTCCACTCCCCTGGACTTGGCCTGCACAAGATAGATACATTAAGTTTTCAATTCATTGTTGCCATCATACGCAATCATTGAATAGCAACATTGTTGCTACCATCTGCAATCATTCAATGCCCACAAACAGGTTATTACAACATAAGTAGCATTTGCGACAGCACATACCAGTAGGACTAGAAATGTCTTGATTTTAAGCAATCCATCTTCCTTAATCTTAAGAAGGAAGTGTTGGTCTAACTTTAAATGTCAGTTTTACCACATTCCCTGGGTACTAGTCTAGCAAGCTACTATGGATGGATGAATGAATAGAAGTGGGTGATCTGGCCACATTTCAATTACAAGGACATTTTCAATTTCTGTCAAATGTGTTGTCAACGGTATACTCTCAAGGGTTCTATTGTTGGGGAATGGACTGGAATTGCTGATGTGATTGTAAAATATGAAGAGACAATTTTAAGTATTAAATGCATTGCATTATCAACGTTTCTCACAGCCATCTGGTAGCTAGCACAACAATAAGTTGACATGCAGTGGTAGGACTTTAAATAGACTTTCACTAGGAGAGAAGAGGCTTAAGGTTGATGAGGGTTGACAGCCGGCTGTAAGTCATGCCGGCTGTGTGTATGTATAATACGTTCATACATACACACAGACGTGCAGTCAGGGTAGGCAGTGCTTACCCTGTGATAATCTAATAAAAAAAAGCTGTTATGAAAAGTCAAATTAAATTATATTTAAAAAAATGTTATTTAGTGTTATCAAAGTTTTTTTTCTAAATGATTCTGGTGGTTTTTATGCTCAAAATCTCAAATTTGCTAAAACTGCATCAAAACCTCAGGAAAGGCGCCAGGGTATTCATTCCTTCCCAGCCATTCAAATCGTTGAGGGCGCCCCGGCCTTTTCTGACTCCGGTCACTGTTAATGGACAGGGTCAGCATAGGCCTTGCTGCTTTGCCTAGCCTTCATTCGTCGCATTGAGACAATTTCATATTTTGCGCATGCGTATTGCCTAAACATGTGGTGTGGGTATTGCCTGGGGTAAGCTGTGCACATTATTTGGTGCTCGCATCCCTTGAATTGAACAAAGCTAGCTAGCTAGCAAAAACAACCTGACAAATGGACACTATTGCACCTCAAACAATTTTCCAAGTTGGAATAATGTAACGTGCCGTTTGGACGGTTCGAAGAGGAACTTCCAACTATAATGAAACTTAAGACCAGACAGAGGCAGCATACAGGAGCTCTACACACAAGACGTGACATGACAGGCAACCGCCATCTCCCTCACTGCTACCCCGTTCATAGATGCTAACCGCTTTAGCGCCTATTGACGATAGTATCTTCTGACCGGGGGAGTTTTATTTAGAGCCCCAACGCTTGCTCTAAACAGAAGAGATGAGTCTTCCATGAAAGCAATTCAGTTTGTCCTTCTCTTAGGCTTTATTTGTGTCCAGGAAACCGCCCCTCTTAAAGATCTGGATTATTTAGACCATTCCTGGTGAACAAGCAAACCAATAAACAGCCGTTATAATAGTTTGTTATGGTCTCTAATGGTGTTCAACGGTAAAGTCCCAAACACACTGTATGGTGTTTTGTTATGGTATTGGGTTGGGTTAAATGGTAAATGTCACTAATCACACTACATATAAAAGATGTTTTCTAATATTTTTTGTGAAAAACATACGACTGCCATGCAATGGTTTATAATTGAATCATTATATTAAGGTTGTCACAACATTTTAGTCACTAGCCCATTTCTCCAAAGTTTTGGGCTTTCAGGAAAAGTCTTCATATGAGAATTGCATAGTTCAAGACATGGCATATGAGGGTGCAGTTTGATACCCGAAGGGTTGGACGATACTTTTCTCATCAATCATCTTTAAAAAAAAAGTTATACTTAAAAACTGGAAATCAACCAGTCCTCTGTCCTTAACACAATGGAAAGGTCAAATGCTTTATTATCACATTTTTTAAGTGCGTGGGCGACGGCAAGAAACCAAATGGTGCAGTTTGAAGCCATGTGGCGGAGAGTGATGCGAGCGCTGGAGATGGGGGTGTGAGCATGTGGGTCTGGGCAGGTGTGATGTAGTTGAAGTTGTGTGTGATGTAGTTTGTATTGTAAAAAAATACAAATGTATACAAAAATTATAGAGAATTGCACCATACGGATAGCCCTCTCAGAGAGCTGCCATTTGTTGGACTATTCAAGGATAAGCATTAGGTTGCTAAGAACAGGATAAACAGAATTGCTTTCATGGAGGACTGGCTTGACCACACAATTTATTTTCATCATTAGAAAAAGCTATTGCCTGACAACTCAAACTGAATTATTCCGCTGCTCTATGTTCACTACATACTTCAGTCTGAGACTACCATCGTTGAAGTAATTTGCGGTGACATCAAAATGAGGGGTGTTGTACAAAATAAAGTCATCACCAATCAGAGTATCAAAGCCAATGACACATTTTCAAAACGCCGCTTTACCCGTGTGTGTTCTGGCTCTGGACCAACCCATCGGTTTCTGGGATCAATCAGAACGGTTGGAACGTGTTTGGTTCTAGAAATCGTCAGGGAGGTACTCAGATCCAGACTCCATGTGGAGAAGAAGCTAACGTCCGTGGGCGTGGAGTAGCGTTTGGCCGGAGCGAGGAGTTTGGGTAGCCAGGCAACAAAAGCTATTGGTTTTCTACCCAAAGTGGCAAAGAAAATGTTGAGAACCATTTAATAAACACAAGAGACCAGCAAAATGGATAAAAGGGTGTGGTGGTAGTAGCAGGAACAGGAGCATCTAGTGGGCAAAACATGGTACTTTCACACTAATTTAGGGTAAATAATGCAAGCGACTTCAATGGCTAATTTCTCTAAACAGGGGGGGGGAAACCATCACCAGATTCACAGGGAATACATTACAAAGGATGAAGAAGCAATAATCCAAACCACATCTTTATACTACTTGTCAAACATAGAGAACTGATACTGTATACTGGTTGTTGGGGTGCGATTGGCATGGGGTGTTGGGGGTCCGTTTATTAGATTCCTCATGCCTTACTCATTGTTAGGAATAATTATGGTCCAAATCGAATGTCAGGTACTATATTTATTGACAATTATATGAATTCTATAAATTAAAACGGCCCATTTGGATGCAATCAATTAGCTTCATTTCTCAGAGATCAAATTATATTTCAACAAAATAATGTTTCAGGAATGCTAATCTTATGTTTCTAACAACAGAAACGATTTCAGAACAATCTGAGATGGTGGATGTCATGGCTTGCTGAAATTATATGGAATGACCCATGCAGAATAAAATAATGGACATGGGGCTCTGCTGTGACTTCTACAACGCTGTCACGGAGGTTCACCAGACTAATTTACAAGTAAAGGTAGGCCTAAATGCATTTTACTTAGCAATTTGCGGGTTAGGCTAATCTTGAATAATGAGAATAGACATAACTTTGAATGCATTTGATTTATCACGCTAGCATTTTGTTTTAATGAGACACTAATGTTTTAACTTTTTCAGTAATTTCGATTGTTGATATGGAAATTTAGTTAGAACCTTAATTAAAATAAATAAAAATATTTCACATAATATTATTTGTGGGTTTGCACATGCATCGCATTGGAAGAATTGTAAATCCATTGTGAAATACTATGGAGTTTACATTGCAAATTATCCAAAGGAAAGTTGTCCATATATTGGTATTTTAGTGTCACCTATCAGTTCAAACTATAGACGCTACATCGGTCTATGGCTGAAATGAGCAGTGTGTCATTTTGTCAGATGATTTGAAATATGCTGCCATCGAAGGCTATCGCTTGTATATCTTGGCTACATTGGTATTTAATTTGGTGAACATGTTTGTCAATTTTGGTTAATAGCCTATGTCACGCTAGTTGTTGGAGCCATCTGTTGGATGGTGAACTGTGTATAGGTTCTTGAGGTCGGTCATTCCCATTGGGTCAAAACTGAGAGCAAACATCTACTGTTATGGTAGTATCTTCTCACAACTGCTATAGTTATGAGAATACATAACATTGATGTGTTTTACCATGGCCAGCAGCATCCTCATGACTTCCTCATTGACAAGATTCTTGGAGTAATCAAGCAGGATGTCTCCATCATCTGTCTCAAGGGTTGTGCTACCAAGGAAAGAGATAACATAGAAAACAAATGTAAAAAATCTAGAACGATCAAATAGGGTTTCTAACTAATTCCTTATAATTTCTATGTACAGTGATAAAGTAGATCGTTGGAATTTATCTTACTGTGCCAATTACATAATTTATTCTGAATTGTAACAAGATTATGTGTTACTGACTGTGTATGTGTTGCAGTGTTAATGTGGCTTGGTGAGAGAAGGTACACAATTTTATTATCAGGGTTTCTATTACGGAAGATGGTGCAGGTTTTATTGTAGGGGCGTAGCAAGCTAGCCTTGTTGCTTAACGGCGGGCGTGCGTGTGACTGCAGACCACTCCGTTAGAACGTCGTGACAGCCATCTTGATGGTTATATTGTTTCAGTAAATTTGTCAGTGGTACCTAAAAGAGGTCTAGGCTGGGTTTAGGTCCCACGTTAGCTAGACTTCAAACGCCTACCGGTAGGCTATGTATGTGCAAAACTGCACGTAGATAGCCAACGCCAGCTGCTTAATGAAAGGAAGCGAACATACAGCATTAGCTAGCATACTAACCCAGCTAAATGGGGCCCTAGTTAAAACGAATATATTTGACAGCTCGATGACAACATAGCTAGTTACAATGTAACTGGGTGTAGAGCGAAAGAATAATGAATAGCATCTGACAAATTCGAAATGGAACATGAGATCATGTCGAACATTTCACAAATCAGATACTAAGCTATGTTTTACGACTGGAAAAGCAATCGATCACAAACGATGACCTTGTACTGTGTACTCATACAAGTATGAAGAGCTTTCTATTAGCCAGATAACTACATAGCTAAAAGGGAAATGACCATTCTTGCTTCCCTACTTATACTATAAAGCTTATACTATAGTTATGGAATCACATTTGACTGGTACCAAGATGTGCAACAACAACAAAAACGCATCCCATTCACTGGCTCTATTGATTTAGCTAGCTAGCTCCTTATTCAATTGTTTGACCTATACAGATGCAAGATACCGTGCCAAATTTCGGTATAGTAGCGGCTATTGGTCATAATAACAATCGAAAGCTTACTTACCTAAATTTGCTGAATCTATCCTTGTCAGCATCAAACATATCCCTCATGTTGAGGTTCCCAGCTTTGGATTTGTACCATTGTTCAAGTTTCTGGAAATGTGGATCACTTGATAGCCCCATGGTTGTGGTTGAATTTATTATGGCCCTGTTAAAACGCTGCTTCCGTGCGTAGATGATGAAAGGACAATTCAGTGTGAGAGGCTGTGGAATAAGACGGGCTATACGGACACGACTGGTGGCCAAATTGATGACGTATGTCGCGCAGCGAGAGTCAAGTAGAGACGAACAGATTCGGTTCAGTCAGTCGTCCTGATAGTAATGGCGTCTTTTTGTAGGCATTAACTCTGCCATGGTTCGTTGGACAAAGTCTGTTGTAAGGTTTTTGGATAAACGCCTAAAATAATGTATGTGGTAAACACAGGCTTAGGAGATCTTATACGTTTTGTTCTATAATCTTCATCACCTAGCATCATTTTTAGTGAATTTTGAAGAATGTATTTAATAATAAAAAACACAAACCACATAAAGGTCATAATTCATAAAGGTCATGTTAACTGACTGCTATTATCTAATAGAACAAAACGTATACGATTTCTTAAACCAGTGTTAACCTCAGACCTTATTTTCTGCATTTATTCCAAAACCCTATTAATTCCCCATTAATTTTCCCCATAGGGATGGCGAGCCAGAGGTGACTAATTTCCGGGTTGTAGGACTACAAACTGGCAAACTCTATTACCGCGTTGACGTGCCAGCCGGAACTAGGAAACTCGGAAATGTCCGACTTGCTACTAGGTTGTAGTATTACACGTCCCGCGTTCACCAGTTAGCAAGTCAGACATTTCCGAATAGCACAAGAACGCAGCAAACGTACAGTCGTTGGATGATTAACGTTCTCCTAGCAGCATAATATTATGCTAGCAGCACACTTGCATACACAGACATGATAAACTAGGAATATCGATGTTTTTATGCACTCTAGTGCAGTACAACTGTTTTTCACAGCATTGCAACCACCTTTGAAAAAATGTATGTTTCATTTGACGTATTAGCATTTATTTTGAAAGTTTACACAAATGCTGGTATGTTGAAAGCTGTGTAGGCTATATTTAAAGAAATACACTTTTCATAAAATACAAATACATGTTATTGGAATTAGTCTGCAAAACTTAAATGGATCTCTTGTGCTGGGCAACAGCTTTAATACAGAGTACTGTGAGTGACTCCGCACGCTTCCCATCCGGAACAGTTCGTGCATATATTATGACAATATTTTGTGCCGTTTTTGTTCGTGTTGGGTTTAGGCAAGGGTTTTTTCGGTTGTTCGAGCACAATGCATTTTTTCTAGAGGCAAGCTGAAGACGGTAGCCGAAGTCTACGCCCCTTCGTTGGTGATTGGTCACCAGTAGGGATTCTTCAATTAAGTGTTTGTTGTCTTTCAAAGAGACTACTAGTTTTCATGCACATTTTTTCACTTGAGAAATACTGCACCAAACATCTTAGTTAGATGTCAAATTGCGCGGCTAAGATCTCCTCGGCATTTCTTGAGTTATCTTAGATCAGTGGTCACCAACCTTTTCTGAGTCAAGATCACTTTCGAAGTCAAAAAGCTAGCCGAGGTCTACCACTCAGATTTGTTTTTAAACATGACTAAAATAGTTCTACATTAACATAATAAAAAATGTTCTGTAGGAATGAGGATTGTGCAGTAGGCCTAATACATTATCACAGCATGTTGGTTAAATGGCTGGCCTGCCAATATTGTTCTTCTCAGACCATATTATACTTCAAAACTCGAGCTTTGACAACAAAATAGATCAGTTGGTGAGCACTTGCAAGGCACAGCTGAGCATACATTTAAATAATGTATTATTGATGATTTATTTTACTGGACTGATGGTACCTGAATCTGATGGTCATGGTGCTTTCAAGACAACTGGGAACTCGGGGGGAAAACTAGGTCAAATCATGTCAGTGATTTTATTTTATTTCACCTTTATTTAACCAGGTAAGCCAGTTGAGAACAAGTTCTCATTTACAACTGCGACCTGGCCAAGATAAAGCAAAGCAGTGTGATAAAAACAACAACACAGAGTTACATATGGAATAAACAAAAACGTACAGTCAATAACACAATAGAAAATCTATATACAGTGTGTGCAAATGTAGTAAGTTATGGAGGTAAGGCAATAAATAGGCCATAGTGCAAAATAATTACAATTTAGTATTAACACTGGAGTGATAGATGTGCAGAAGATGATTGTGGTCCATAGGTGCAGTTACAAGCTGGTAGAGCACGGCGCTTGTAACGCCAAGGTAGTGGGTTCGATCCCCGGGACCACCCATACACAAAAAATGTATGCACGTATGACTGTAAGTCGCTTTGGATAAAAGCGTCTGCTAAATGGCATATTATTATTATTATTATGATGTGCAAATAGAGATACTGGGGTGCAAATGAGCAAAATAAATAACAATGTAAATAACAATATGGGGATGAGGTAGTTGGGTGGGGTAATTACAGATGGGCTGTGTATAGGTACAGAGATCGGTAAGCTGCTCTGACAACTGATGCTTAAAGTTAATGAGGGAGATAAGTGTCTCCAGCTTCAGAGATTTTTGTAGTTCGTTCCAGTCATTTGCAGAAGAGAACTGGAAGGAATGGCAGCCAAAGGAGGTGTTGGCTTTGGGGATGACCAGTGAGATATACCTGCTGGAAAGCATACTACGGGTGGGTGTTGCTATGGTGACCAATGAGCTAAGATAAGGCGGGGATTTGCCTAGAAGTGATTTATAGATGACCTGGAGCCAGTGGGTTTGGCAACGAATATGTAGTGAGGGCCAGCCAACGAGAGCGTACAGGTCACAATGGTGGGTAGTATATGGGGCTTTTGTGACAAAACGGATGGCACTGTGATAGACTACATCCAATTTGCTGAGTTGAGTGTTGGAAGCTATTTTGTAAATGACATCGCCAAAGTCAACGATCGGTAGGATAGTCAGTTTTACGAGGGCATGTTTAACAGCATGAGTGAAGGAGGCTTTGTTGTGAAACAGGAAGCTGATTCTAGATTTAACTTTGGATTGGAGATGCTTAATGTGAGTCTGGAAGGAGCGTTTACGGTCTAACCAGACACCTAGGTATTTGTAGTTGTCCACATATTCTAAGTCAGACCCGCCGAGAGTAGTGATTCTAGTCGGGCGGGCGGGTGCAAGCAGCGTTTGGTTGAAGAGCATGCATTTAGTTTTACTAGCGTTTAAGAGCAGTTGGAGGCCACAGAAGGAGTGTTGTATGGCATTGAAGCTCGTTTGGAGGTTTGTTAACACAGTGTCCAATGAAGGGCCAGATGTATACAAAATGGTGTCGTCTGCGTAGAGGTGGATCTGAGCGTCACCAGCAGCAAGAACGACATCATTGATATACACAGAGAATAGAGTCGGCCCGAGAATTGAACCCTGTGGCACCCCCATAGAGACTGCCAGAGGTCCAGACAACAGGCCCTCCGATTTGACACATTGAACTCTATCTGAAAAGTAGTTGGTGAACCAGGCGAGGCAGTCAGATGAGAAACCAAGGCTATTTAGTCTGCCAATAAGAATGCAGTGATTGTGTTATGAGAATTTCTATCCCAATGTTTGAAAAATGAACTTATTACTCAGTCTGTATCCCAGAGGTTGTAAATCTCTAATAATCAGACCAAGCAGCCCAGCATACAATCATCAGGGTTTATTTATGAGAACGTTCTAAAACAAAATGGTCGTACAATATTTGTATATGCACACATCAGAGAAAAAATCCCTCCCCTCTGTAGGCAGGCTGTAGTTTTCCACTTTATAATTGCTCTTCTGACCATCAGTTCACACACACACACACACACACATACACACACACACACACACACACACACACACACACACACACACACACACACACACAAACACACACAAGCCTAACAGTTTCTCTCCTCCCTAAATTCCTCAGTTATCTTGGTTTCTCAGTTGCCTGTAGACAGTTCTCCTTGTCCTTTGTTGTCTGGCCTAACTCTTACTCACATTGCTAAATAGTAGCACAATGTCATAATCTTTACTGGTCCTACACTCACACATTACCAGGTAGTAGATTCTAACACATCTCACACAGTCTCAGAGTGTAATAATTAGTCACTACTAAGAAAGTACTAATCATACTTAAAACAAGAACATTTCACAACTATATTTAAGGGTGGAACATTTAGTCATTACTTTTAACCTGTATATATTTTAATTCCTATATCAATCCACCCTTTGACTAAATTATCCTCACTTTAATACACAGAAAATCATTACAATTACTTTTAAACTAGAGATTTATAGTTCTAGGAAAACATCCAGTCTCAAACTATCTGAATAGTTGTCGTCCTCCACCAAGCCTGGTGGGTCATATTCTTCATTCCTTAGGTCGGAGTCCGGGATTGGGCCGTATCTCACCATTTGTTGGGAAACTGCATTCTCCAACGCCTTGCTCACCAACCCTCGGACACAGGGAATAAGACAACATCCACAAAGAACAAGTATACCCATAGAAGCTATAGCTGCACCCAGAATAGTTACAACAATAGTTTTCCATTTACCAAACATGTTATCAAACCAACCAGTCATTGATGTATTCATCCCCCAGTTCTCAGCCCATTCTTTACTTAATGCAGTGAGACCTGCCAGTGCTCTAGTTACTGTACCATCTGGGGCTGTATTGTTGGGGATAAACATACAACAATGACCTCCCACCATCTTGCAAATCCGCCCTTCTCTGCTAAAAGCATTTAGAGAACCAAACTATTCTGCAGGTCATGAGTGAGGTGGCGGATAGTTGGCCTGAGATTCTCTTCACTGCATCCCTTGTCTAATTAACAAACCTTTGTAGATGTAATTAATCCAGTCAACATTTTTATCAATTGTAACCCACCAGAAAAACGTTGTTGTAAACCCTTCTCCAATTTGATCTGTGATTCGCATTACTTTGGTGTCTATAACATTGATAATCTCTGGGGTTCATGGTGAATTGGGGTGCCTTAGTATTATCCTTTTTAAGAGTGGTTATTTTAATATCGGAACAATTAGGTGAGGTTTGGTTTGATCCCAAA